AATTCAGAGATCTGGAGACCAGGGCAGGGATTGGACTTAAAGATGAAGTGTTGAGAGGTTCATATATAAAGAAAGAGTCCACCTCAAACTTGGCTATGCTCAGTTTGTATATACTCTGGTAGAGAAAGAAAAAGAAATAAAAACTAAAGGTTCTGAATTAGCACTTAGTACATACTTAACTATATATCAAACACTATCCTAAGCACTTAACTCCGTTGTTATCCTGACTTTCCATGTTGAAACTGGTGCTGTAAGGGGTTGGCTCAGTCACAGGGTGGTTGAAGGGCAGATCCGTCAGCAGGGTACTCACTTATTGGACTCCAGGTTCTGTATTCAAACGGAACCACACCCCTGCAGAGCTCCTGCTGGACAGCTGTTGAGTTAAGATGCAGCTACAAGGTTTTGGTGGGTCACTGTTGATTCTTATGCCGCACCACCCAAAGACATGTTGAGAGAGGCCATCAATGTGCATATCCTTGACGCCCAAACATGCCTTTCCATTTGTTCCCACTCTCCATTAGAACATTGCATCAGTCAGCATTTTTCCAGAATGGTTTCATTTATTCTTTAACAGCAGCTATGATGGTCCCCTCTTTACAGATGGTGTATCTGCAGGGCAGGGATAGGATGAACTGCCCAAAGCCACGTTGGTAGGAAGAAGCAAAGCAAGAACTCAAACATGAGTTTGAGTCCCAAAACTAAAACAATGTTGGCTGGAGCCGGTGCTGCAGACTCGATGCTTTACTCCAATCAGACAAGTCTTTTCCCACTTACACTTGTCTTAGTTCTCCCTCAGGAAGGGAGAGACACTCCCTTGGTGTGCCCCAGTGAGGGCTGGGCCCCAGCAAGAGCCCTCTCCTGTGAGTTCACGTGCAGCCTAATGGTATGTGTGGCCTGCTGGAGTCCTGTTTCATTATTTAGGGTTTTTACCCCAGACTTTGAAAAGTAGGTTGCTAGAGTGCTCTTTCTCCGTGTCAGGGAGATTGTGCAAGGATTTTCAATCTGATTCTAACAGGCGCTCATTGGCTTTTCCACACTGACATGGGCTCTGCAGGCCTGGAGGGCTGGCTAATGGGATTTTCTGTGATATATTACTCACTTTCCAAAAGTCATGCTGGTGAGCAGTTTATGGAAAATGGAGGTCTCTCTTTTCTTTCTTTCTCCTTTTTCTTTTTTGTCTGATATAGCAATCTTTACCCATATATTTTTCAGGTTCTCTCTTTGGATTATCATTTTGACATTTATTACTTCAATAATCATACGGAATCAGCTTTATGAAGATTCCCTAAAGTACTCTTTGTATCTTTCTGGAAACATTCATGATATTAGGATTGGGATCCCGCCTCCTCTCTTTTCCTTTTTGGGTATTAGGGATTCAATTTATGGTCTCATACACTCTACATCTAGGCAAGTGCTTTACCACTGAGCTGCACCCTTAGTCCTCTTCATTTTATTTTGAGTCCTTTTATTTTTGCTAAGTTGCTGCAGCTGGTTTCAAACTTGCAGTCCTTCTGCCTCAGCCTTCTGAGTAGCTGGGATGATAGCCACAGGGTCTAGCTTTAAATGTGAAATTGAATAACAGGCTTCATAGCTTCCTTGTCTTCTTCACTGGGGTCTGAAGCACTTTAAAAACAAGGTCATGGTGATAAGAAAATGGAGTTATGAGTAGAAGGCAGGACAGAAAACAGGATCCCCAGGGCTGCTTGAAGCTGACTAACTGGGGACGCGTGACCGCGAGTGTGGTGCCTTCATAAGGCCCTTTCTACAGTCCCGTCTGCTTAGTCACAGCTAATGGAGACACGGCAGGACTTAAATTAATGCCTCTGTCAAAGCAAGCAGACCTTTGTGGAGCATCTGTTCTCTGCCAGGCGTGGTTTTCAGAGGCGTGTGCTGCATGCTGAGGGAGGACTGCCCGGCTTTGGCACCTGAGCTTCCAGGGTCATTTCTGCAGCTGCCAAGAAGAGGAACCAGCGCTAACCTTTCAGCTCTCTGAGCCAGTCTTTCCGTCCAGGAAGTGGAAACAGGTGTTCCAAGTGCTTTACTGTTCCATAGGATCAGAAGGAACCTGAGACCTGTTAAGAGATTAAAAAAAAAAAAAAAAAGGACTGAGAAATGAAGGAGCATTCCCTAACTCGTGCGTATATCTGTGTGTGAATTTGGAATATGCATACACATCGTGAGAACACGCATGCAAAAACACAGGTACACAAGGGTATGGAAGAGTTCTAGAAGATCCACAAGAAATCATTGCACTTGAGAATGGGGCACTTTACTTTGTGATGTGTTTTCTTTGGTGACACTGAGTTTTTCTCTTTAAGCAGCTACATTCTATTTTGAAAAACAACATTAGTGCTGGTGGAAGCACTGACGGTGCTTGTTGCAGGTTGGTGATGGAACTGTCCATAAGGTCTATGAACAGCGGTTTCCTTTCTGCTCTGCAGGCCTGGGGACTCTCATGAGCTCCCTCTTCTGTGCAAGCTCTGCTGGACTTTCCACAGCTGCACTGGCTTCTCTGCATTTTGATTTTAGCACAATAGGAAAAAAGGGAAATGGCAGTGTGTGCATTAGCCTGAGTTCTGGGAGACTCAGACATTCCAGGGGCTGAATTTTCTGGTTGTGAAATGAGCACGTCCTTTGACTGCAAACCTTGTTGAATGTCTCTCTTAAATTCAAATCAAAAGGGACCTGGAGTCTTTATAATCCAGAGCTAGGGTTCAGGACTGAGGACAGTGAGGCCCTGAGGAGAGGAGGTGGCACAGAGGGTGTCTCCAGCAGACATGGGTGGGTGTGCCACCCAGAACCTTCCCTGGGCTGCAGGCATCCCTTCCTCACACTGCCAGGAAGCTGGGGCCAAGAGCAATCAGCTGAGTGTGTGGAGTGCCTGTCTAGAGACAGCTGCTCACATCCGCCCCGGGTCGCCCTCACCCAGCGCTGGTCAATGGCTGGGTCCAAAGACACGGTCCGTGCTGTGAGGCCAGGTCTCTCTGCAAGTCCAGAGCCCGAGCCATCAGTGAGGCCTCTGTGAGGCCTCCAAGAGAGTGCAGTGCCATGCTCCACCTGTGCACTTCCCTCCCTCCCATTTAGTGCCCCTGAAAGCACACCGGGTGACCTCTCTGTCTTAGAACCAGGTGATGACATTCCTGAGATTTTTATCTGGTCTGATGCCTATTGCCTGGCAGCCCATGTTACCCAGTCATCAAGACAGTGGGGACCAAGTGTGTCATTAGTCCCATCATCGCCTGCTCACAACTGGGAGCTCAGATGAAGTGCGGATGGCCGTTGGCCTCCTCAGACCTGTTCTGTCCCCACTGGGCCAGTTATGCCCTCTCAGGTGGCAGCAAGGGAAAAGGAGAAACACGGGGGCACGAGGCTGCCAGAGTCACCCACCATGTAGACCAAGGCTCAGAGCCGGGAGAGTAGACCCACCAATTGCCCAGCTGTTCAACAGCACACAGAGACATTGACTCCTCCCACCCCGGCCATGTGGGCAATAGGGGGACAGCAGGTCCCTACTCCACCATCTTCCAGCCCTCTGTCCAGTAGCTTCCCTGCTCCCCATCTGAGCACTTCCCCGTGGAACTCCTTTCTCTGCTCTCAGAACAATCTCTCCAACATTGACCTCAGGATGTCCTTGTCTCTTGGGTTGACAAGAAAGTCACAGGTGTCCCCGAGGCTCAGGAGGCTGAGGCAGGAAGATCACGAGTTCAAAGCCAGCCTCAGCAAAAGCAAGATGCTAAGCAACTCAGTGAGACCCTGTCTCTAAATAAAATTTTTAAAAAGGAGGGTGCTGGGGATGAGGTCAGTGGTCAAGTGCCCCTGAGTTCAATCCCTAGTACCAAAGGAAAAAAAAAAGAGTCAAAATTGTCCCATTTCTTCCTTTTTGTCACGTCTAGGTCTCCAGGTTCTTTGTGGATGTAAGCATCATTTTCTCATTTGACAAAACACTTTGTAATTCTATCAGTATAATCTATTCCATGTCCACCAACTAAATATGTAACACAGAACACCTGACACGCATGCCCACATCCAGAGCTCTCCAAGGGGCGTGTTCCACCCAGGTGAGGCAACTCCTCAGCACCTCACTCTTCTTACAAGACAGTTTCCCTCCTTTTAAGCGTAGCTGCTACTCCTCCGACTGCCAGGAGGGTTGTTCAAATTCTTTTTATCACTCTGTGCCAATAGGCCTGCCTACCTTTGTCCCTGCCTCTTCTTAGTATGGACCCTGGCACAGTCAGTGGAAGGGGACCTTCAGTGGGCCCCACTCAGTTTCACAAACCTGCCATGTCAGGGCATCTTTGCCATCACCATCATCATCAACATTGTCACCAGTCACCTTTTTCATTAATCATCACCATCATCAACACAATGTCACCATTACCACCACCATTGCCAGCATCATTCACCATCATCACCACCATCATCACAATCATCAACACCACCACCATCATCTCCATCAAAATTATCATCACCACCTTCAGCAATCACCACCATCATCATCAACACATATCACCATCAACACCTCCACCATCATCACCATCAACGCCATCAACATCATTATCACTATCACCATTAGCATCACCATCATTACCATCTTCATCATTCAACACCATCATCATCAACACCATATCTCCATCAATGCCTCCACCATCATCACCATCAACACCATTATTACCATCACCATTATTATCACCACCATCATCATCAATACCATATCACCATCATCACCACCATTATCACCATCATCACCACCACCGCCACAATCATCATCATCATCATCATCATCATCATCATTATTATTATCATTTTAATTTGAACATGGCAAAACAAGAGTATTTTGGATTTCATTATTTTTCCCATATGGAGGGACAAAGACGACACGGGAACTCAGGTCTCTCTCTTCCACACAGTCCTTGATGGTTGACACAGCAGGTGGAGGGGAGGAGCCCTGTGCTACTAGCCCAGGCATGACATTCCTAGCTTTGTTTCTGTTCCACCCACAGGGAAGCTTCTATGTCCCCTCAGAGAACTGCATGCAGCATGCCCACAAGTGGCACCGCGACCTGTGTCTCTTGCTCCTACAAGCCTACCGGGGCCTCCGCCTCTACTTCCTACTCATCATGAGGGACATCCCAGAGCTGCCGCACATGGAGCTGGGTAAGGAAAAAGCCCAGAAGCTAATGTTGCCCGTTGGTCACTGGGCTGGAGATAGGGTGTCATGGTAACGTCTGTTGTTCAGGGAGGGTTAGTGTGCCCTACCCCATTCTAGAGGGAGGCAGTATTCAAAGGGCAATGTGTAAGTCTAGGTATTAGTGCTAAGACTATGCTCATCCACTCATTCACTTATCCACCAAACCAGAGCACGTAGTCATACCTGCTTGGTACATTATGTCATGCTGCCTTCTAGGGGAGAATGCGGGTTTAGAGCCTTTCCTTAACTATGCAGTAATTACAGAATTGCAGCTTCAGAGTGGAAAACAATCCTAATAAAGAGCTACATGTCCATAGGAAAGAATGATATGCACAGCCGCATACACCCATTCATGTTTGAATACGTAAATATTAAATACTTATAATTAATCTGGATGATTACAGAAACCTACTAGTGTCTATCAGATTTAGCTGTCTTGAAACAAATAGATTCTTGCACATGGATTTTCTGAAGGCTAGACATCATAGAGATTATTAAGCCTAAATCCCTCTTGATTGACAGATGATGGCACAGAGTGGTAGAGGGGCAGGGTTGCACAGCCCTATGTGTGACAGAACCATGGCAAGGCTCCGAGTCCCTGTGCTGACCTCTGGAAGGTCCTATGTCATCCCCAGTTACAGTAGGGCTTGTGTTGCAGTTCTGCTCATAGGTCTCTAGAGCAGCGTCTGAGGAGTCCTTAACTTGAAATTCAGGGTTAACACCTGTTCTAGTGTCGGAGACCTTAACTTCCCCATCTACACCCCTGGAAATCAACTGCTACAAAAACCATGGCAGAGGTGGTGTCCACGTCTTACCCAGTGTCCATCATGGCAATGGACACATGGTGTAATGATGTATTTGCATGTTTCCATTCCCTAGCACCTTGAGATCTTTGAGAGCAGTCGCTCCTCAGATCCCTTATCCACTCCCCCGACACTGGGCCTGAAGGAGAACATATGGAGTTGTGGAATTAGGATTGAATGCCGAAGCCTCTTGCCATCCATCCCTATCAGCTCTGACACCCCAGTCAAATCCTGTGCTCAAGCACTACTCTTTGAATCAGGCAATCTTTGAAATGTTTTTCAGGTGTCAATCTTATGCATGCCATAAAGACATGCAGAGAATCGGTGCAATTCACATCACTCAGAGAGAAAATGGATATTATTCAGCTGCATTTGGCTTTCTGATGTAGCATTTTCTTTTAATCCAAAGGAACCAAGTTTCTTTATACCAACTCATCATATTTGTATTGACACATAGCACCTACTGTGTGTGGGAGTTGTGCTAGGCACTGGGGATGCAGACAAAACCAATATGACATGCCACAGTCTGTCTGGGCACAAAATCACCGAGCCACCACAAAAGCCTTGTAGATTCCAACAGCAACTCTTTATTCCCAAACTCTCACCGGCACTGTGCATGTACATTCTGGGAAAATACACTCCCTCCACCGGGCTCTGCCTACCAATTCTCTCAGAACCCTGCGCAGAAAACTGCACGGGAACTCTAAAGGAGCGGGCTCCTGAGGCAGCAGGATATGCCCTAATCCTGGAGCCGCCCTATTCCCAGCAGGATCCATCCTAAACCTGGAGCCGCCCTAATCCCTGAGCAGGGTCACCTTTCAAACCAAAATGCCATGCGTCATTCCTACTTGGCTATGGCTCTCAGCAATGACAAAGCTCTGTTTTGCCTTGGGTTGGGGACCTTGCAGACCTGAGGTCAGCAGTCAGGTGGAGAGGTTTGTGCTACTTGTATCGCAGGAAGGAGCCCAAGGTGCTAAGGGATTGCTCACACTCACCTGGGAAACAGTGCATCTACCACAGCCACGTGCAGATGGCACCGAGAAACTAGGGAATAACTCCAAAAAGTAACAACCATGAACACTGTATCCCTGAGAGCTGCACCACTGGTCCATGCTGCCACGGTGGCATTGCAGGGACCATGTTGGCATGGAAAGTTAGGTGTTCATTAGTGTCCTAGTCCCTGGAGCCTGCAGAGGACTCAGATCTGCCACCCCACTTCTCTAGGCTTCTGATCTTTCATGCGTTGAGATGGAGATACAAATCCATGCTCTTTATGTCTTGGAAAGATATATCTGTGTTGTATGAATCCATGTGCCTCAAAAAGTGGAAATAAAAATGGAATCACTCTGGGTGTAGATTGCTGGCACATGCCAGCAATCCCAGCAGCTCTGGAGGCTGAGGCAGGAGCATCTTGATTCCATGTTAGCCTTAGGGACTTAGTGAGTCCCTAAGCAACTTGGCAACCCTCTGACTCTAATAAAATACAAAACAGGGCTGGGTTTGTGGCTCAGTGGTTAAGTGCCCCTGGGTTCAATCTCCAGTACCTAAAGAAAAAAAAAATCACTTTGACCCAAAAAAAACGCTCTATACAGTTGAGGAGGATCTACTTTTATGTAAATGCATTGATGAGAGGACTTTGGTCTTTACCTAGGGCTTAGCCCTTGGTTCCAAGTCAGGTCTATTCTGTCTGTAAGCACGGTGCCTCCAGCTGGTTAGGAATGCACGGAGAGGAGCCTTCATCAGTTGTGTTTGTTCCTGTGACTTTAATGAGAACTTGAAACTTGTTCTTCTTTTAATTGGCAGCATCTTCATTTTCGTGCATGTTTGTTTAACTGTATGATATTTGCTTCTTTCTTCCTAGAGGCCCTTGCTGTTGAAGAAACGCTCGCCCAGCTATGCTCAGAGCTCCAGGTAACTAGAGGGCTGACCCTGTGGGTCTGATGGAAAGAAGTGGTCACGTTACCGAATCAGGCCTGCTCTGCCCACAGGGCTTTAAGCCTGTCATGGAAGCTACCAGGTTTACAAAAGAGAAAGTTAGCTCACAGGTGCCAATGCCATGGAGATGGAGGAGGAGCCTCAAATCTGCCTCCCTAAGAATGGGGTTCAGGTATCTTTATGGGGCAAAGAAGCAGGGTGGTCTGAGGTGTGGGAAAGGTGATTGGAGGTCAGCAAAAGTGAAGTAGCAGGTGGTCATGGTCTTCACAGGAAGCATGTCCAGAAACCAGCAGCCTCTGCATGATGTGTAGGTGGAACTGGGACCCCTGCCATCAAGAGGACGCCCATGGGACACTTGTGCAGGCCCAGTGGAGGGGTCAGCTCCTTCAGCCCATTTGAGCTAGATGAGGTTACTCCAAATTCCTGAAAGATCCCCTCCAGGCATCCCTGCTCGGGCTGTGAGCTGTGGGCAGTCAGCCAGTCCACTCCTTCCCTGCTCAGCTGGGCGACTTCCGAAGCAAGGAGCTGGAAGGAAGTGCGCCTAGCAGGCCACCGCAGGCTTCCCGCCGGTGTCTAAAGAAGGTATTCTCCCTCTGGCTTTTAAACTTCAGGGAAAGAGAATGGCTCACATCCCTTACAAGAGGAAACAAAAAATGGATATGAACTTTGTCCTGGGGACTCTGTTGCGGTTTTGTGAGGCTGTGTGCATTAAGAGCATGTCTTTAACAAACCTGGCGATGCACACGACGGTGTGGTTCAGTCTCTGGGACACTTCCACCTCCTGGGGCATTGCATGGCCCCCTAAGTGAGATCCCAGGTTGGGGCTGGAAGGAAGCCCACGAGTCAGGCAGAGGGGAAGGCCAACCAGGACTTTCGTGGTGCTTGGTCTTCCCATCAGGATTTTACTGATGACATCTTTTTGTCTTAGCCAATTAGTGTAGGGCACACTCGCAAGTTACCAAGTCTGTATTTTATGTGCCTTGTGTGCATTTGTTCATTTATTCAACTGAACAGTTCTATAGGCAATCCTGTTATATTCAGTGGATGGGCTCTCAGTGGCAACCCGTTCCCTCCTGGAGCACACAGCTTAGGAAAGTGGCTTGTGTACTCTTGGGCCACCATTGTTCACTGCTCGGAGGACTCCTGGCACCTGGGAGAGGCTGGTCCTAGAGTGGTTCATGCAGCTTCCTGGGACCCTTGGCTCCTCTGCAGAAGGAGCCAGGACTTGGCACATTTGCCTTTCAATCTGCAGACCCATCGGTCCTGGGTCATGTGCCTCGGGTGAGTAAAGGGCAGAGGCCCTCTGTCCTAATAAAGGGTGTGGTCCTCCACCTCGGGACAAGCATTGGGCAGGTCTTTTCCCCTCTTGATGGCTGTTTCCCTGTGTGCGATGCACTTGTTCTATGGGGATTAAATGAGGTCACCTGGCTGCATTGTGGAGGACAGAGCCTGGCATACAGCACTGCCCAAAGCCATTACTTCTGTACTTGTCATCTTGCCTACTACGCCATGAGCCTGGCAGGAGATGAGGACACAGGTACTCTACCTGGTTGTGGGACCTCAGGTGGACGGTGTCACTAAGTTTCCTCAGGAGGAGGTAGGCCCTAGTGGACCCCAGAGAGGAAGCTGTTTTGGATCCTGGCTTTGAGCCTTGTGGTTTTGCAGCAGTGCAGCCCATGGACCCCAGAGGTAGGAGGGCCTGGCGCAAGGCTATGCTGCTAGAACACTCAGAAGGGCCTGGGAACGGGCCACGTGCCATGACTGAGGCTTTGGGGAGGGAGCCCAGGCAAGTGACCAAGAGGCCTGGGTGCCCTCTGCACCAGGGTGCCTGGACAAATCTCTAGGTCACAGGGAGCCAGGAAGGAGGATTCACGTCCTTAGGGGGCTATGTGGGCAAAGGGACACTGAAGAGTCGTCTCCAGCACAAAACACTTTGCCATCAGGTGGTACCTCACACACACTGTCCTTTCTCTGACCCTAGCCAGATGTGGGCTGTCCACTTTGTTATAAAGCATGTCAGAAAGGATGCAGACAAACTGCCAGGTGAATACATAGACACAGGGCAAGACCTGCAAGGGCATCCCAAAGGTGGCACTTCAGTTGGGTATACTCACCAACCTAGAAGCTGCCAGGCCCCATCATTTAAGGTTTCTACGGCGCTCCAGTGCATAGCCCCACGGCCAAGGTGACCACTGGCCCTCCACAAGATGCCCAGCTCCTCTCCCTTCCCCAGAGGCCTGGAGAGAAAGTCCCAACCTCCTGACCTCCTTGGTCTTTCAGACAGCCAGCCTCTCCCTGAGGCTGTCTAGGGGTCTGTCGAGGGTCTCCACATCAGCACAGACTCAATCTGGGGGAAGGGGACGTAGAATAAGAAAAGATGCATCTAAGCTCTGGGAATTCCAAGGGCTTTAGAAACTGGGTGCCAGGAAGGAGACCTAGCTGCATCTCACAGAATCACAAACAGAGAGCAGCTGGGGCAGGAGAGGGTGTTGGGGTGGTGAAGTTAAAACAAAGGAATAGCAAAGGCCCGACCCAGAGGGAGGCTGGCTCTCTGCCCACGGGTCTCTGCGCACTGTGCCCGCAGCAGCCCTGGGCTCTGGGGGGAGTGCTCACAGGTCCACGTTTATTTCATGCTAAATGGACACAGAGGAGCAGGTCTTCCTTAAGGTGTGTGAGTCAGAGGGGTGAGCCTCCTAGGGTCTGAGCCTGGCCCCGCCTCCTGCTGAAGTTCCTCATCTGCTGCCTGCTCTGGTTCATTTATCAAGCGTATTTCACAAAAGGCCGACTGCTGCCTCCTCCTTTCTGCAGTGTCCCAGACTGCAGGGATGCTGCCTCTTGGGTTCCTATGGTCCCTGTTGCCACAACTTTATTTTATAACCAAATTTTGTTGAAAATTTTATTATGCAACTGCTGTAGGGAGTGGCTTGGTGACAAAGGTGGAAAGGGTGATGTGCTGGCCATCAGTCTGCTCCTTGGTTTGCTGAAGGGCTGGCCTGTGGTTGGAATAGAAGCAGCACCCCACTTCCCCAGAAGCCCCCCCCCCCCATTAAGCTCACAGTCTGCAGAGCTGTTTAGAGACAGAACATCGCCACCTTGTGGCCCATGACAAACAGCAGTGAAGGTTTCCATCTGGATGGCCTGCCACTGGTGGAGTGGAGGCTTCCGGGGACTCCAGAGGATTGGAAAGCTAGGTCTCTGCAGCAGTGGAGTGTGGGTGCCTCTGTGCTTCAGCAAATCATGAAGTTTTACTAAGCATCTGCTGTGCACCAGCCACTTGGATATCTGCTAGGAATAAGTAGAAGAGGACATTGGGAATTGCAGCCTACTGAAAACCAGATTTGTTTCCACAGACAGCAGAATCTCCTGAGGTGGCCACACTAGAACCACAGAGTGTGAGGCAGGGTGGTGGGCCAGGAGGAGGGGAGGGCCTGGTTCTCTCTGGGGAGGTGGGGATGCTCCATAGGGGCTGTTGCCAGGGAGCAGGAGGGAGTGCATCAGGGAGGGAGGGGCATTCCAGCAGAGGAACAGCCCCGTGAGGCCCAGGGCACCAGGACTGGAGCACCATGGGAGAGGGGCCAGCATGGCTGCAGCGCTGTGTTCCTGAAGCCCTGCTGTAGAGCCGAGCTGGAAAGATGGGCTGGAGCAGGCCGTGACGGTCCTTGCTGAGCGCTGGTCAGGAAGGAGATGTGCTGTCTGCAGAGGGATGGCTCTGTCCACACTCAGCCACGTGCTTTGGACAGCAAACATTCAGAAACTTGCTGGGGAGCTACTAAGAAGTGACACTTTTTGTTTGTTTGGTTGTTCTTTAATACAGCAACAGGATTTTCTGAATACAAAAGATGGTTCCCTTCTTGACCCCCAGAACTTACAGGAGATGCTGAGGTGTCTAATAGTCTTTCCCAGAGCTGCACTTCCCAGTGGGACCTGGGAAAGAAGCTCAGCTGGCAACTGTGAGCAGTTGGTGGCTGCTTGGGGCAGCCCCTTGGCATGGTTTTTTGTTGTTATTTATTTTGTGTGCTTCTTTGTTTTGACTAGTCCACCTGCCAGAGGGTTTTCAAATAACTTGTTTCATTTAAGCCTGGAAGTATCCTCCAGGAGGTCAACAATACCCAGTTTCTCAAGTCCCTGCTCTGGAGGAGCTAACATCAAGCTCAAGGAGGCACAGTGGTACACAAGAGGGCCCCAGACCACATTCCATTTACTTTCCAATAACAAACCAAAGAATGTAATTGGTGCACATTGAGTACCTGCTGTGTGCTGTCACAGAGCACCTATATGCTATAGGCTCCCCTCCTACTTAGTGTGCTAATTCTGCAGGGCAACTCAGCTTGGATGGCTTAGAACTTGCTTGGGGCAGCCAGGGGCACAGAGCTCAGCCAGAGGCAACTGGTTTGAGTAACAGCATCCATTTCTCCCTCTGTTCTAGAATGTTCTAATTTTAATGTGCTTATGAATTACCTGGGGGTCCATTAAAATGTAGATTCTAGTTCATTTGGCCTGGGGTAGAGCAGGAGGTTCTTTAACAAGTTTCCTTAAGAAGAGGTTGTCCACTTTAAAAGGCCTTGGGGGTGGGAGAGTTGGGGGCTGCCCTGTGTGGAGAGCACTAGGCCTTAGCTATCTGCTCCTTCCCTCTGCCACTCCACGAGGCCAAGCACAGGCTCTGATCATCTCAGTCTGGCTCCTCCCTACAGCATGTTGTCCAGCTCTGCAGCCCTGGACTGCATTCCAGAGCATCTCTCCTGGGGACAGTAATGCCCAGCTTGACTTCCCAGGGCCCTTCCTCTAGAATGCAGAGTCACAGACCTCACCACATGGGAAGATAGCTGTTTCCAAGGCCTCTTGGTGACCAAGAGTCCCTGTGTGGTGGGGACCTCATGGGACTCAGCCCTGGCTCCACACAGCATCTCCATGCAGAAATCACAGAGGGTCAGTCCATGTGCATGGACACCTGCCCAGCCCCAGATCTCACTATGCTGACTGAAAGCCCTCGTGGTTGCTGGTCACCCACCACATGAGGATCTGACTGCTTAGCATGGAAGTCAATGCCAGGGCACATGATGCCCCCTCACCTGTTCCTCAGCCCTGAGCTCCTCCAGGGCTGAGAAACTGGGCTCTGCAACCCAGCGCCACTATGTGCTCTCACCTCTGCTTGGGCTGTCCCATGTCACCCTGTTTTATTCCTGACACAATCCCCATCTGCCAGACCCAAGCCAGCTGCTCACTTTTCCGGGAACCATCTGAGATCCTGGGATCCAAGAGTCCCCCATGGGCTAGTGTCTCTTGGCGCTGGGCTCTATTCCAACTACTTCTTGGTATCATGATTTGTGTTACTTTTCTCCCCTCCACCAAGCTGTGAAGGCACTGAATCCTTTCATACCAAAACATACAAGGCACTTATGATTTTCCAGTTAGAAAGACGATAGCCCCCAAATTAATTGCCATCCTGATCTTACGTTAATCCCTCAGACGGATGGGATGAAAGTCTCCCTAAGAGAAGAGCTTTCTCCCTTCACATGCCCCTGGTGTTGAGTCAAGTGGGTGTGGGGGTGGGAGGGCTGGTAAAACCACCACTGCATATTGCTGTGGAAAGAGGCCAAGGCAGTGGGTATTCAGAGAGTTCACGGCTGCACACTTCTGGGGATCCAAGGGTTTCCAGAGTCTGGCAAGACAGGTTGCAGGAGGGCCCTCCTGACTTCTGTAGATACACACTGAAGTGCAGTGTCAGTGGAGGGCTGAGCAGGCACAGGAGCATGCTGACATCCTGTGGACAGAAGGAGGGAGTGACCAGGGGATCTGCCTGGGACCTGGAGGGCTGTATGGGGGGTAGTATGACATGGTGAGCAGCAGATCCAGGAGCTGGACCGCACGGGCCACACAGGTACCAGCTTAGGCAGAGTACTACACATGCTGTGTCCCCTACCCCAAATCATAAAGCAGGGGAGTAGAGAGAAGCTCATGGGCAGAGCCCAGATGAGGAGGGTGGGAGGCTGAGCCTCTTCTCAGGGAGCTTCACCCATGCAGACGGGGCTGGGATCGCCTGCTGGTGACAGGAGGGCCCTCCACCCCTGTCATCTGTGCTTCAGGCCCAGGTGTCTGTGAGCTTGGAAAGTCCTCCTGTGGCTTAATTAGAAGCTTTTTAAACCTTACCTTAAATCCTTTCTATAACCAACTGGGGAAAAATAATTCTCCCAAAGGTACATTTCATTAATAGCTTATCCTTTTTTTTCCATTTTTCATTGTGGTGGCTGAGCTCAGAGTTCATGCAGTGTTTGCCCATACCATGGTGGTACAGGGGCACTGTCATGGGTGGGGGACAGAAGAAGCAGCCCAGGAAGGCTAGTCTGTGTGACTGAGGCACAGGGCACCTCCCACCCATGCCAGGTCACCTACATAGTCAATCCAGGCTGCTAAGTTCACACTATCATCAGCCAGTGTGCTGGGCAGTAGAAACAATGAGGGCCAGAGCTCAGAATGCAGACCAGAGGGCATGTTGGAGGTAAAACAGGCCACACGTGGCTGGAGGTGGCATGGGAGATGGGTGGGTCCTTTATGAAGCGGGTGGTCAGTCTTACACTTGGAGCACAGAGGAGTTTCAAAGGAGACAGCAGAAACAAGGGGACACAGAACTGTCTCCGTCAAGATTCCCTGGAGAGAATAGACAAGGCCAAGGTGGAGAGGAGAAGAAAGGAGACGGAAGGGGAGAGGGGAGGCACTCCAGAGAGAGGGTGCAGCTCGACCTGGTGCTGGTGGGCAGGCCCAGTGGCTGGAGCAATGGGCATGCTCAGGCCAGGAGGGGAGGGCCCATGATCAGGTGGGGATTGTTGTCAGGGGCAAATGGTGCCAAGTGTTGACACAGGAGTTTGGCTGTCATCAGTAGTCATGCTGGTTGGAGAATCCAAATCTGAGCGACTTCTAGTCCATCCAAAGCCACGCTCTCCACCTGGAGGATTTTCAGTGGCTGCGTTTTCCCCAGAGCCCCCCCCCACCACCTGACCTTGGTCTTCCGTCTCTTGACCATGGTGTATGCCACACAGCCAGCAGTGGTCACCAAATACTGACCTTGCCTCTTGGAAGAAGCAGCTCTGAGTAGTATTTTTAAATAAGATCTTGTGTTTAGAAGCGAATCATTAATTGAAAAGTAATAATATTCAAAATTTAGAGTGTTACTGTGCATCAAACTTCTCTTTTCCTCTTTTTCTTACTATTAGACTCCTCATGCCACCTGCTCTGCCTTCGCCTAGCATGAGCCTTCAGTCCAAGGGCTGTCGGTGATTCAGGCACTGGACTTAGATCCTCCCATGTATCACTGCATTCAAATGGAGTCAATTACCATGCGTGCCCTTAAAGGAAACTGAGGCACAGGATAGATGAGAGAAGCAGGGTTTGGAAGTGCTGTGGCTGTGTGCCCAGGTTATTGTGTGTGGTAGAGAGTGCCACAGCACTCTTTTTTGCTCACCCACATCCCTATCTCAACTACTGAGTGAGGCAGAGGCCCTCTCCAACTCGTCCTGTGTCTGTGCTTATTCAACACATGGGCTTCAGACACACACGATGCCCTCACATGCTTGCTGTCTAAATGATTAAGCCTAGAGATTGGTGTCAGGATTTGAGGACTGGCTGCCTCACACTCCTCAAAGACACCGTCTCTCTTCTCACTTCTCCAGAATTTATTTGAATTCTCCAACCAGCATGCTTCTTGGAAGATGGCTATCCCATATCAAGTGACAGCGATCCAAAGTATTTCTATTCCTGGGGTCTTCCCAAAAGGCTCTGGGCCCACTCTAGTCCAACTCCTAGCTTTAAAAGCAGCTTGAAACCCTCCGTAAGGAATGTGGGAGATGGTAGAAGGATGGTGGTAGGCCAGGGCTAGGGAGGCCCCGCCACGTGCAGTTCTCCCAGCTGGTTAAGTGCTCTGAGGTCATGGACTCTCTTCTCTCTGGAGGTCTCTACTCCTGTACTGTGGTGTGGGGATGTGGCTTTGTGGCCCCACAGTTCTTCAGTTCAATCCCAGCTTGGTGTGGACGTGTGTACTCTCGCTACTTATTCACTCTCATTTTAGATTTTTGTAGAAGAAGGTTTAGGATGCCTCCACCACAGAGTAACTGTGGGGACTACATGGGAAACCTATGCAAAATACCCAGCCCTCTACCTGCCAAACGCTGGGTATTAATGAGTGGAAGCCATCATGACTACGATTCTGAGTTCAGAATCTCAGGACAGAGTGGAGTGCGTGTGAGGACCTGCAGTGCCGGGGGTGGGGGGTTGGGAGGATGGGATGGAGGGTTTTCAGCCACATGGTTGTGAAGCCAAGGTTCACAGAGGAGAAGTCACTGGATCTGGGCACCGATGGGCAGCATAAACTGTGGAAAGGGTTGAGTAGACAAATTGAAAGAAGAAGCCATTGGACCCCAGGGCAAAGGGAAAACATCAAAGGTGCAAGACATTTCCAGAAATCCAGGATTAGGTTGGGCTTAAAATAGACACAAAGACAAGACAAAGCAGGGAGAGACTGAGCTAGGCCGTTGGTGATCTCTCATGTGAGACTAGGCCTGGATGTTGTTTGTCGACAGGGACTACAAATAATTTATCACCACCATGACTATTGAAGTCCCGCCTCCAAAGTGACTTGATAGGTGATCCCGAGAGTCTCAGGATGGTTTATTGTCATCCCACCGATGTGCAGATGTTCCCCAAGGGCACAGGAGTCAGTGGAGATGGCAGGAGCCCAGGGAGCGGGGGCCTGACCACTGCATTTTTTGCCTCCAGATGCTGAACAATCCAGAGAAGATAGCTGAGCAGATCAGTAAGGATCTCGCCTGGCTGGCTTCCCACCTGATGGCTCTGTGGACACAGTTCCTGGATACGGTGACACTCCACTCCCAAGTGACTACCTATCTCACCCAGGAGCACCACAGCCTGAGGGTAAATTGTCTCATGGCATAAACTTCCTACATGCACTTAGTGTCCTGAGGAAGTGTGACAAGTGTCAGTTCACTCAACTGAGTAAGAATTGGGACTGTTCCCAGCTCTCGTTTGGAGCACTGATCCTGGCCCCACCCTGAACAAGCAGTGTGACGTCAGGAGCTTGGTTAGCCATACAAGCCTTTGCTCCATCCTTCATAAAACACCACCCTTACCCTTATCGTAGGGGTACTCCAAGTACTTTTAAAAAGTATTTGAGGGGCTGGGAATAGAGATGAGTGGTAGAGTACTAGCATCATATGAGCAAGGCCCTTGGTTAGATCCAGGGCACTTCAAATAAACAATCACAGCAACATTTGAAAAAGTAATTTGGAAGGGAGGGCATTGCTCTTAGTATATTTTTGGCCACAAGCTTGGGCACATATGGGTCGGTACTAATGCATAGTGAAAGACATTGGTCTTCTCATTTAGAGCAAGTAGAGCAAATATCTGAGGATTAGATTCACCAAATGCTTAGCAAGCACACTCACAAGGCTGGATTTGGAAATTCTGTTTATTCTGCATTTATTTATGGTGACTGTTTGCAAGGATCTCATATTCCAGTAGGAGGAATAAAACCTACATATAAAAATGATAAAAAGCAATGTAAGAACAGATTCATCAACATATACTAAACTGTGTCTATAAACCAGGGCTGGGCTAAGAGCTTTGATTCAGACCTCTGGGTGAAGGACAAGCTTTCCTTCTCTTAGTGCATAACACTTATTTCCACGACGACCCTCAATTCTAAACAGAGAGACACAGCCACCTAAAGAAGTGAGCCATTTACTCTGTTTTATTCCTCAGGTCCGAAGGTTTTCTGAGGCCTTTTTTTATATGGAGCACCAAAAACTTGCTGTCTTGACGTTTCAGGAAAATCTGTAAGTAATGAGCCGCATGCCTACTCTGCCGAATAAAGTCGTCTCCCCCACTCCCAGGACAGGCCACCTCTTTTCTTTGTTCAAGCTGCCCTTTCGCTTTCTGGATCTCCTCACCTCTGCACCTCCAGTCTGAAGTGCCAGGCAAGCGAAAGATTTAGACAGGGCCCAGTGGGAGAGGTCAGCAAGCTGAGGTTTCCTTTGTTGAGAGTCATTATGCTTCTAGAGACAGAATCAAGACTCCCAAGTCCTGCAAGTCATCTGTGCTGAATCCTGCAGAATGAAGTCGAAGCAGGTGGTGTGGCCATAGGCTACGTCAGAAAACACACAATCTGCTCTAGATGCCGCAGTAACTAAAAAATGCATTTAGCATAGTAATTAAGGCTGAGCTCCCTAATTAGGAAGACTGGTAAATTTCTCAGTTTGCCACCTTCTAGTACTCAAGAAAGTCAGAGGGTTCATGGGCAATGAGGCCATTGTCCCACGGGGACGCCCTGGTGAAGAGGGGCAGAGATCCCTCCAGGGTCTTTTGGCTTTCGCTACACACATCCACTTCTCCTGTTGATTCTGAACAACACTTCACTTCAAAACGTAAAGGTGGGTGAAGCCATGTTGGGAATGCCAAGTGAATCCACCAGGAGCAGAGCTTGACGTTCTGCTTTGCACGGGAGGGACGTGGAGAGCTCTCACACCCTTCTATAAGCTTGTTTTCTCCTCGGGCTTCCTTATATTTGCAAAGTACGGTGACATTTACAGTTTGCCTCGTGGGTTCTGGAAGTGAGCTGGGGCTCCTAGAAAACACAGCTGCATGTTGAATCCGCTTGTCTAGAGATCCTGAGAGTCTTCCACTCAGCCGTTAATTCGTTCCCTCAATCCAGGCTCCAGCTAGAACTGGGAGAAGATACTTTCCAAAACTAACTTCAGAAGAGCTAGTCTGACAAGGGTAAACATAGCTTTGGGGGCCACAGCACAAAATTATAAATCAGATTGGCTGCAGGAAATGGTCTCCCAGAGTCAAGGAGGTTAGCCTCAGGTGGGCTCCAGGAATGCCCACTAGCGGAGGTGACAGACACAGGCCAGGACTCCTCCCCTCAAACAGCCCAGCTTGAATGGCAGCCTCTTGTGCAAAGGGCAAAGATTCAGAAACTAGTGGGATGACAGCTTGAGTTTCAGACCCTGCTCCTCCCCAAAGGACAAGAAAAAGTCTTTCTGCAGATGTGACATTTGAACGCAGGCTGGGGTTACAGCAGGACATGCAGTGACGTGGGAAAAGTTTGGGCTGGTGAGATAAAAACAGAACATCTTTGAAAAGCAGCAACAAGATCAGTGCAGTTAGAATGGAGTGCAAGAGCAGGGAAGAGCAGGGAAACTCAGAGCAACAGGAGGAACAGACCGTGTGGGGCCTTGAAGTCCAGGGGATAAGGAGGACCTAGAGTAATTTCTGCTTTTTTACCTGCAAATGACTATGGACCTCAGCATTTCAAATTTCATTACACGACTTAAAATACTGATTTTGCAACTTACAATACTTGTGGCAGGCATCCCACTAGTTACCGAATCTTTCTTACCTGGTTTCTTAGACATAAAAAAAGGAGATTCCTTCTTTCAAGAAACAACTATTTATCAGGGAGCACATATCAGACACCGTTTCAACTCTTGGCTACTCTATCAGTGAACCAGAAACAAATTCCTTACTTCACGGGGCTTGTATTTTAGCGGTGGAAGGCACATGATAAATATGATCTGCCCAATGGTGATGTGCCTGGTGAAATAGTTCTCAGTGTGAGGGGAACAGATGAGACTAGTTTAAGGAGCTGTCAGAGAAGGTCTTCCTAGGAAGCTGGCATTAGGGAAGAGAACCAGGTACAAAACTGGGCCCTGCAGATATCTTGGTCCTGTAATGTAGCTGTCAAGTAGAGCAGTTTTTAAGGATTCATTTAGGAGTAGACATTAACATAAGGCAGAGACTAGGAAGGGCTCCTGCTCAGAAGGAAAGAAGCTTTTAGCTAGGCCCTCCAGGGTAAAACTGTAGAACAGAGAGGGAGAGTTCATTGCAGATGGAGAAAATCGCAGAGAAAAGGCCCAGGGTCCTGTGAGCAGGGGTGAGGTTTGGAAGAGGTAGTGCACAGAGACCGGAGAGCCAGGAACTATGCATGAGAAGGGTGGGCTCCCATGGAGGGTGGGTCTGGGGAGAGGACGGAGCCTTGGGGAGGCTATCCTGTTGACATAGGAGGCTGAACTGTGCTCCAGAATCAGGGCAGACGTGTGGAAATGCCAGGCTACCCAGTGAGCCCTTTATTGTTGAAGCACACACTAGATTGTATTTCTCCAACAGGAGGTCCGCCACCGCTTAACGCACGGTGAGGTGAGCTGGGTGGGCTGGGAGCAGCACTTACAAGATGGGCTGGGAGCAGCACTTGTGAGATAGGCTAGGATAGGACAGGACGAGATGGAAAGGGTAGCAGCAGCTTGGAGTGCTTGTGGAAACCCTTTGTTCCGTGCCACACTCTTGAGTGTGCACAGCTTTCCCGGGTGCCATGGAGAGGAAGACCTCTGGCCCCAGGTCGTGGTCTCGAAGGTATGTTCAAGAGCAGATGAGGATGAGACCTAGCAAGTGTGGGCTTCCTGGCCCTCCTCTCTGTACCACCAAAGTCTCCCCAGTGCTTTTCACACAGGAAGTTGGTGCTACGGGAACTTTGTTTATGACCAAATGTGAACAGAAACGACGAGGCACAGGGAGACCTACACTGGTATATCAACTGCTGTAATATGATCATTGAGATATGCCTTTGACTTTTACATGCTCTGTGTCTATACCTGTACCTCTGTATTGTGTTACTAAACATCCATGCAACAGGGTCGAACTCCACAGGTTTTTGCCTGCCTTCAGTTGTTCACAACTGTTGATATTTTTCTAGTAAGAAGCTGTCCAGGTGTTTTTCCATGCCTTGGCTTGTTCAATGTTCTTATTTGCCTATGAAGTTCACACTATTCTTCTATGAAGAAGAAACCTGGGCTGAGAGAGGGGAAGTGATTTATTGTAGAGCATATAGCAAAAGAGACAGAAATGGGGCTGTGTTGGAGGCCAGAGGCCATACTTCTAGCCCCTGTCCCATGGATCCTATGGATGGTATCGAGCCTCTTCCCTAAAGAAATAAATCAAAAGAGGGGCTTTCAGCTTCTAAAGCAGAAGTATCTGTAGGCCTGGGCTGTACAGCTGGAGTGAGGGCAAACCTGTGCTGACATGGGTAGGCAATGCCCCAGACCATCGTCCACGGGACTCCTCCCTGCTTGCTGCTCCGCATGGCCAGAGGGAAACCCAGGGGTACCTGCTGAGTGCACAACATGTGGGTGCCCCTGGCACCACACAGACAGATGGACTTGCATGCCCAGTGGCCCTGAGTGTCAAACAGGGAAAAAGGGACCAGGATCTGAGCGCCGGCCATGTGCAGAGTCTGTGTGCTCACACACAGGAGGGCAAGGCCAAGCCCAGCAGGGCTCATTCCAAGTTGGTTTCTTCCACTGTGGCTTCCACAGTGGGTATGTGGCAGAGACGTGGAGGGAGGGGACTTCACCCTCTGTCTCCAAACTCCTTTGCTGCTGCTTCCCAGCATCCCTGCAGGTCTCTAGAGAGGGTCTGGGAATATGTGGCCCTCCAGTTTCCTTGCATATACCTTGTTGATTAACTAACTCATTCAGTACATACTTTTTTAAAAAAAATTAGAGCTTTGTAGTTCTGCATAGTAGTGGGGTTCATCCCAACAAACTCATACATACGTGAAAACTGATTTCAGTTCATGATCCCCCCTTTTCCCTCCCATTCTTCCTCCCCTTCCCTATTCTCCTTCTTCTACTCTACTAGACTTCCTTTCACTCGTCTATTAACTTGTATTTGATTGATTCTTTCCACCTATTCATATATATGAATTTCTCTGTCCTAAATTTACATATGCATATAACATGATTTTTTAATAATTCATTCTGGGCTGGGGTTGCGGCTCAGTGTTAGAGCATTGCCTAGCATGTGTGAGGCACTGGGTTCAATCCTCAGCACCACATATACAAAAATAAATAATTAAGATATAATTTTTTAAAAAGTGTGGAAAAAAGAATTCATTCTGTGTTGCCTCCCCTTACCCAACCCTCCACTCTGTCTTTTGATCTCCTTCTTGTGCACTACTGATATTCCCTTTATCTTTATGTTTTCTTATCCTTCCTCCCCCTTTCCTTTATTTTACTCTAGTTTATGCATATGTGAAAAAACATTTGACCTTTGATTTTCTGAGATTAGCTTTTTTCATTTAGCATGATATTCTCCATTTTCATACATTTATCAGCAAATGCCATAATTTCATTCTTTTTTATGGCTGAGTAGAACTCCATTGTGTGTTTATATATATATATATACATTTCTTTATCCATTCATCCATTGATTGGATTCTGAGTTGATTAAATAATTGAGCTATTGTGAATCATGCTGTTATAAACAATGAGGTGGCTATATTACTGTAGTATGTCAGTTTTAGATCTTTTGGGAAAAAATAGCAAGGAGTGGGATAGCTGGGTCATATGGTGGTGGCTCCATCCCTAGTCTTTTGAGGAATCTCCATGGTGTTTTCCAGAGCAATGTACTAGTCTCCAGCCCCACTAACAATGTGCAAGGGCACCTTTTCCCCCATAACCTCACTAGCATTTATTATTGTTTGTATTCTTTATCGTTGCCATTCTGACTGGAGAGAGATGAAATCTTATTGTAGTTCTGATTTGCACTTCCCTGATTGATAATGATGTTGATCATTTTTTCACATATTTGTTGGCCTTTGCGTTTCTCCTTTTGAGAAGTTTCTCACAGGTACTTTTGATTGCTCACTGTATGGAGGCATTGCTCAAAGCACTCGGGATGCCTCCGTGAACAAAACAGACACTCATGTTAGGAGATAAGAATTCAACAGTAACATTATAAATCCACGGATTATATAGTATGTTAGAAGGTGAGGGTCTTTTGAAAAATAGATCAGGGCAGGGGCATCAGAAGTGCTTGGGTTTGGAGGTGGGGGCAAGGGCAGGGCTCCGTGTTTGGTGGACACTGTGGAGGAGTGAGAGGCCATGCTGGGAAGGCTTCTCTCCCGTTGGCTGCAGTCAAGTAATTCCTAAGGGAGTCAGGGGTCTCCAGAGAGACGGAAAAGAGGGGTGCATACATAGAGAGGTGTAGAGAAAGGGGTTTGCTAGTGGAATTGAGTGGCTCCATTTGGAGGCTAAGAAGTGCCACCGTAGTCCCTGTGCAAACTGGAGGACCAGGGACGGTGTGAGCAAGGCTCAGCCCATGTCTGAGAATCTCAGGCCCCAGGGAAACCCGTGGTGTAATTCTCAGTTCCAGTCCCAAGACTGGAGAGTCGGGGCTGCTGGTGTGAGTTGAACATTGGGAGAACTTATGGCTCTGATGTCCAAGGGCAAGAGGATAGAGAGCATCGTGCTTCCAGAAAAGAAGGCAAGACCTTTCCCTCTGACTTTGTGCTCTATTCAAGCCCCCAGCTAACTGGATGGCTGCCATCTATGTTGAGCGTGGATCTTCCCCTCTCAGGTCACCAGCTCACATGCCAATCTCCTCTGGAAATACCCTCACACACACACCTGGTTGTAATCTCAGTGGCTCAGGTGGCTGAGACAGGAGGATTGCAAGTTCAAATCCAGCCTTAGCAAAGCGAGGCAGACCCTGTCTCTAAATAAAATATAAAATAGGGCTGGTGATGTGGCTCAGTAGTTGAGAGTCCTTGAGTTCAGTCCCTCATAACCCTCGCCCCACCCCCCCCAACAAAAGCATAAGTGTGCTTTACCAGCTCTCTGGGTATTCTTGATTCTGTCAAGCTGGCACCCCAAAACAATCATCACCAGTCCACCATTTTTCAGCAGGACACCCTTATGCACCTCTTCAAACCAATCTTGATAAAGAGGATGACAAAGCCGTAGTCCCTTCAGCACGCTACTACTGTCCTGCCAGTCCCTCCAGGGAGTTTTCATGCTGTGCACCAAGACCGAGGAGGGCAGGGCAGCTCCCCCGAGCTCACCTGTGGCTGAGCCTGAAGATAGCACACACCATCTGGGCTGAGACACTTCTCAGAGCCTGTGGTCAGAGAGTGCAGTGACTCTCTTGTGCAGTGTTGCTCAGCATTGCTTTAGGCACTTGGTCACATCCACAAGCCCCACACTCAAGAAGCAGCATTCCCTCCCACAGGAGCTGGCGTCTGCTCCACGTGGCTCAGAGCAGGCAGCACTCACCTGTGCTGCTGTGCTGTGGTCGCTGGCTTCAGCTCTTACTTTCTTCATGACCATGAGCTGCAGACCTAGATGCACGTCCAGCCCCAGTGGTCCTCGTCATCGCGAGTGCCCTGGTGCCCAATCTATGTCTTCATAAATTAAAAACTGGTTAGAGGTTCCAGATTTAGATGGTGTTGCAAAGCACAGGGGTGGCTAAAAAAAATCCCATCTAAATATTAAGAGAAGAATATTTAAAGTGTTAAATATTTAAAGAGTTAGGAAGTTACAGCAGCCTTCAGGGCTTTGAGGAAGAGAAAAAAAATTCCCTCCTTTACTTTTGTGGGTAAAAATCCAATTGAAAAGTAAGAAGAAAATAGAATGCACATATTTGATATTTCTTAAACTGATGTGTGTATTAATTAATATTCACTGTGCACGGATGATATGTGTTATTTGACGTATCTGTACACTAGGGGTGTGTGTGTGTGTGTGTTCATCTCACTGTGCCCGCCAGTGAAAGCGCAGGTTAGAGAAGCTGCTTTGGGCCTAGGCAGAGCTGCACAGCTATACAGCGGGTCTACAGGCCGATGTTCTGCACATCTGCAAACGAGATGGGGGCTTCCTGGGTTCAGGCTGCTTCAAAGAGAGTCACAGACAACAAGGAGCAATGCAGGCCCTGCTCCCAAGCTCACCAATCCCTTGAGGACCCCCTGTTCTCTCACGGAAAAGAGATTGAGTTGTTATGGAAAAAAATAGTGAAACTTTAATCTTTTCCTTTCATGAGAAAAAAATAAACATTCTCTCTTCCCCCAGGGACTTAAGGAGAAGGGGATGAATATTTTGTAACATCCTAGCATTTTAATTTAAAAAAAATGATTAATTATTAATAATAATTTCTATTGGTGGAAGGATGTTTGTGTCATGAAAAAATATGAGCATTTTAAAATCCTACATAGAGGAATGAAAAAAATAGGGCTCCTGACTAGGGAAACTTACATCCTAGTCAAGGATGCCAGTATACACATAGTAATCGATAAAAAGCTATTTTGGATGGTCTTCCAGTGAAACATACCACAGTATGGCTCAGATTCAAAGTGGCACAAGGTAGAGAAGCAAGGATAAAGGTTTCCCTCCAGGGCACTAACTGGAGCTCACTGGCCATTCAGAAACTCAGCCAGCACCCCTCCAGCGTGGTCTTCATGACATCCCCAAAATGGCACGTGATATACCTCTGTGTTTCACCTAATCCTACTGTTCATGACCTCTAACCCCAGCACCTGGACCAGTTCCCAAACAAAGCAGACTATGGTTCTGGGGGCTGAATAGGCGGGAGGGAAGAAAGGAAGACCGTTGATGGCCAGAGTCCACCGCAGCTCTTCTTCTGAATGTCCCTGGGATTAGGGGTTCCACAGCTCTTTCAAAGCTTCCAGTGCACCTTGGATGCTCACCCTGTGCTTCCCTGTGCTCCTCAGCATACAGATGCACAGCCAGCTGTCTCTGGACATCCGGAACTCGGAGTACCTCACCAGCATGCCCCCGCTGCCCGCAGAGTGCCTGGACATCGATGGTGACTGGAACACCCTGCCAGTCATCTTTGAGGACAGATATGTGGACTGCCCTGCGACAGGTTTGTCTTCTGTTGTCCTGGAAAGACTCAAGGCTTTCCACGGGGTCCTGGCGGCCTCTCTGTTTCTATCCCAACAGCAGTGGGGCCGAGTTAACACAGGGCTTGTTCAGCTCCTCCAGGGGAACAGAATTAAAGTGGAACTAATCGACATGACTTTATTTCAGGAACACTGATAAATCAATCTAACAAAGGAGCAATTCCAGTAAAAACTCTCTCCACAGTTCTCTGGGGAAGAGTTTAACCTAGTGTCTATCTTCACCCACAGAACAAGAATCCCTCCACTCTGCTGTGCACACACCAGTGTGACTTGGAAATACAGGAAGGCCCTTTCTTATTTCAAATGTGCAATTTAAACATAAAGACACTTTTGATCGAACTTTAATGGCTTTGGGTTCAAATTCTCAGCAATGCCTGCTTCATGCCATGAGTCAGGCAAAGCACTCAAGACTCATGAGTCCGTATCCTTAGGCAGCATGACTAATGAGACAGATCCATGAATTAACCACTCATAGCAGAAAGAAGAGAAAATATGTTGTCCTCATTTTTGGTATGTGTGTGTCCAGATTGGCTGGTGAGGAAGTTTGTCAATGAACTCACACATCAATGGGGAAAAGTGGAGGTGGGGGGTGCACCTGGGTAGCACAGTGAATGTCTGTTCTCTGACCCCTCCCTCAGCCCTGAATGGAGATCCCCAAAGCTAATAGACTTGCAATCCCTTCAAGGTCCCAGAACTGCCAGGCCCATCTTATGCTCAGGTTTCAGGGCTCTATCTCCTTAATCCTGTAAATGACCTTGGGGACTCTATTTAAGGACAAAAAATGAGGCAGGAGGACTATGAGCATCTTTTAAAGACCATGTGGCTTTAAGTCAACATTCAAACCCGCTCCCTGGATTCCAAAGCTCATGTCCTGCCTTGCAATCTCCCCTGCAGAGTTGTTATTAGGCTCAGAATTTACATGAAGGGCAAAGGGGCTAAATTTCACAGGTGCTACAATCTGAGACTTGTTGGATGTCTATAAATCTAGGTGACTTCTAAGGACAGTGCTACCTTACAAGTACATAAATCTGATTCTCAGTTGTACTGTGACATCTAGTGTTACCCAGGTGTATGGCAACTGAAATGCACACCAGGCTGGAACTGGAAACATTTACACAAGTGTATCTACACTGATGTGTATGTACCTGTGTGTGTGTGTGTATTTATGCACGTTCATCCTCCTTATTGTTACATTATCTATAGAAACTTTGAAGTTAAATGAGAAAAGAAGTAAGCACTCATCATCTGAGGTTCTGACATCAACATTTTCAGGGTTCATTGTGATTCGTCTCCCAGTCTTTTTTCCTACACATACTAATCCATTTCCTAGTGATTATAAATCTCAGTCCCTCAGCTCACATGTGCCATTTATCACATATCTTTATTTTCTACAAATCAGCTTTGCTTTCTCTCCTAGCCTCCATCCTGCAGCATGGCTGGAAAGTCAACCTCAGTCTTTTGGGGTTTCCTTGGCCACCCATCGTCTCCCTCCATCTCGCCTATCAGCACCCTTGAGCCTTAAACAGCCACAAGACCTGGCTGGGGGAGAATATCTAGGAGCATCTCCCCGTGCAGGTCCCTCTAAGCTGTCCATTGTCCACACCTATGTGCTACCTTAGGACCAGCGTGTCTTTGTAGTTTCTCTAAAGTGCCTGAGGCCGGCTCCATCACACTCATCTCATCTTCCTAGAAGGACCACAGGCAGGTACCCTGCACTCAGCTGTCTCCCAGAGCTTCTTTCCACACGACCTCAAATTGATGGACACCCATCCCCTATACCAGTCGGCCAGCCTCTGTCCCCATGCAAAACCCAAGGCTGGGCTTGGCCTTCTTGTTCCTTCACAAAACTTCAGCACAAAGAACTACTTCCTCTTTCCTCTAGAACTTGGGGGCCTTGTTATTTATTCCTTGTCCTGAGATTGCCAGACACATCTGCAGTCATCCTTTGGGTGTAGTGTGAAAAGGGAATTAAAGAGTTTCATTTCCATGTTAAAATAATGGCATTGGCTCATGGTTTCCCACAGCATCATGGCTTGCCTCTCTTCTGGGTACCACACACTCAGCAAATCTGTCCTTACTATCTGTTGTCCCCCACTGCCCTCCTAGTCCCCTGCTCAAGGCCATTGAATGGTTTGCTCAAAGCCTCAAGAGTTGCACAGACTGTCTGAATCGAGTCTTTTCCCCAACGAAGTTACCTGCATGAACTTGGGGAATGGGGTAGTGATTGTACTCCAGTGTTACTGTGAACAATGGGCAGATCCATCCACAAGACAGTTTTTAAAAAGTGGCAGGCCCAGAGTGAAGACGAATTCAAGTTTCTACTCTCATTTGTTGGTGTCTGATTCTAAATCCATTCTCATGGAATTAGAACCCTTTGCCCTCTCCTTTTCTGGGTGAATTGTAAGCGCGAAGCCACATTGTTGCCATCTTTGCAACCCATTTCCTGAACCTCCTGTATCCAGTCTTAATTAATCCGTGACAAATCTGAGAAACACTTTTTATTCCAAGAATCTACAACCTGTGAAGTCAAGTCTGATTCCGTGTCCATGCTGGGCATGCGAGTTGATCACCTTGCAGGTCCTCTCCACCTGCCTCAACCCAGTCCCCCTTTTCTCTTCATCTTGGCTCCAACACACAGTAGCTCCTCAGGTCCAGCCAGACTGCAGCCCACAAAACCTCTGCCCATGATGTCCCCTGACCAGGGTGACTTACCTCCTTTTCTGAACAGGTCAATTGCATTCCCCAGAATACTGACCACATTCAGTTCTGTTTGCTTTCATTTCCTTTTTTAATTAACAACTCATTTTGTAGTAATTTTAGGTTCCCAGCCACAGAAGGATGAAGGAAAAGGTATAAAGATACCCCATGCGTCCCCTGCCCTGTAGGTACATAGCACCTCCCTGTCAGCAGAACACTAGTTGGAGTCAGGACACTACACTAGCTCAGCATTATTACCGGGAGTCACTGGATACCAGGTCACTCTGGGATTTTCTCTGGGTTTGGATAAATGTTTAAGGCCACGTGTCCACCATGACAGTATCATGCAGAGAGTTTCAGTGCCCTGATTCCACGTGCTCTGCTTGCATGGCCCTCCTCCTCCCCTTCCCTAGAGACCAAACATCCGTTCACTATCCCCACAGCTTTGCTGCAGTCCCTGCAGTTTCAGAAGCAAGGAACTCACTCTTTAAACAGATGCCCAGTCCCCTCTCCCTAGCCAGTTGTGTATCCAGGGATTTCTCACACTGGGCATATCTGTTCCATTCGTGGTACCCAATGACCCTGAGGTGATTTGTTTGAAGCCATTACAATCGATGAGCATAGTATCATTGTCACTATATTTCTGTTCTAGTTTCCATTTGTTATACACACAGTTCATTGACTGTGTCCTAGCCCCAATCCTGGCCCTGGGGCTCTAGAGAGTCTCATAAGATCAGCTTCCCTGGGGCAGAGACAAGATGGATGCACAGAGAGGACCTGGTGTGAGGGTGGGGGACGTGCTGCACCTCACTGTGTGGAAGGGATGCAGGGTTTGCAGCAGGGAGTCTGGGCCTGGCTATGGGCCGAGGGAAGGCCTCCGGGGAAGGCCTCCGGGGAAGGCGAGTCCTCGCAGTCTCTCCAGAGGCTCAGCTGTGTCCAGGTGAGGGCGATTGCCATTCTTTCCTTGACGGTCATGAGTGTCACCGAGACTTACCGGGTGATGAGGTCTCAAAGTCTCACACGATTTTCAAGAAGTGTCTGGGATGATCCACTCCATGACAGTTTCCGGAACCAGATGGAGAATGCACGTTTTAAAAAGAGAATGAAAACCGGGGCTCTCTTTCTCTGCTTGGTCTATATGGAAACTGAGTACCGTCACAGGCTTTATCAGAGCTGTGATGAGGGTAGCAGAGAGGGACTCCTGTCCAGCTATTAATTCTTAGGAGGGGAAGAGAGAGATGAAGACCGAGAGGCAAAGAGAGACAGAGGCGAGGAGGAGGAGAGGAGGTTGAGAGAGGGAAGAGAGGGAATGCTGAGAGAGGGAATAGTGTGCACTAAAGAAAAAAGAAAGAAAAAGACCATATGCGGGCCCCCTGCCACCTGCCTATGAAGCTCAACCTGGTTCTGGAAGTTTCCTATGCTGTGACACACATGGGGTAGTGATCCTAGTTGCAGAGTTCCAACCTGACAGCATTTTTCTGGACAAGGTGGAAGTCTTCTTCCCTGTGTCTCCTTGGTTGGTGCTGTGACTCCTCACTGAGTTGCCGGCCATGTGGCTCTGCCACCCTAGGGCACAGGAAGTGAGCACTGACACCAGGAGCTTCCAGACTCCATGGTTGTCTGGGGCCTCCTGGCTGGAAAATGGCCACCTCAGGAGGAAAACAGACCTTCTGGCTCCACGGATGTCCCTCCTTCTGAAAATAGGAAGCAGGGAAATGCCTCTGTTCCCCCGTGAGAACCATTAAACACACTTTCATAAGTGGAAAGTGAATGAAAGCGAGGCTCAGATACTGCGTCAGCACCAAGCACACCCGACACGGCCAGAGTCAGGTCCCCACAAGCTCGACTTCACCCAGGTGCACTCCCAGGCTGAGGGGCACAGGCCACCCACCCTTCTACCCAAGCAACTCTGAATTCTGGGTTCCTTTAGCCCCCTCAGTCTAATAATTTGTTGGAATAGGCAGAACTCGGGAAGGGGCTATACTTACAATTACATTCTTATTGTAAAGAATACAAATAAGTACCAGCTGTAAACAAAAGACAAAAACACAAACATTAACAAACCCAGGGGCCCAGAGGTGGAGGTCTGCTGGTGCCAGGTGAGAAGTTCTGGTGTTCTCAGGACTAGTCTCCCTCCTGGAACATCGCTCCTGAGCCAGAGTACCTAGACTTCCTATTGGAGCTTCATTATTTGGGAAGGATGGATTGAACCACTGGGGCCACAGGGCTTACTTCACCTCTCTCTACGGGTCAGACTGATGTGACTTTTCAGCTCTAGACCCTAGGCCTCTCTTTGCCTGGTTGGTCCTTCTGCCAGGGCCAGACCCATCCTGATTCAGCTCATGAGCATGAACTATTTAGAAACTCAGCATGAGTTAGCAGGTGAGCATAAACTCTCTGGATGCCCCTGGGGTAAAAAGACTTGTATGTCCTGGGAAATTCTAAGAATCTCCAGGAAAGTATTTTCTTAAAAAGGAAATGAAGGACTGCAAAATTATTATTATTGTTGTTTTACACAATTAGCTATTTGAGAATAACTTGTGAACATAGATTTGCAAACTGTAATATAATTTTTTTTTGTAGGACCCGATTTGAATGTTTATCCTAATTTCAAAGTTCCAACTGTAAGTCCCTCAATGATGAATCTAAAAGAAAAAGAAGAGAACCATGTTATAAATAGGAAATCATCTTTTAGGGGAGACTTTGTCTTATCTACCAGGATACCACCTCAAGTGGACACTAATGAGGAGGTTACTAGGTGTCCAGAGCCAGACAAGAATGAAACCACAGCAAATGTGGACGTGTGCTCCGAATCTCAGGTGTACCTGACAATTGGTGAATTCCAGAACAAAGCAGGTGTGCCTGAAGATGAGTGTGGGTCTGGCCAAATGTCTGATGTCAGAACCCATCCACTGGCAGATGTGGACAGCCTCAGGAGGAGTCCAGGCCCAGAGGAGGGGCAGTCTACAGTGCTGACCTACATCGAGGTAAAATCCAGTAATCAGGGCCTCCACAAAGCTGAGCCCACGGAACTCTCTAGTGAGAGTAGAAGCCCTAGGGACAGTTACAGGACAGTATCAAGTGAAGTGGTAGCGGGTGGATATCACCAAAATGCCATCTCTTCAGACAAAGCACCTATCACCGAGTTAAGTACTTCAGGAAAGGGAACAGAACCAGAGGGTCAGCCAGTGCTGCTGAGCCTGAGACTCGCCCCCACCGAGACCCCGCTAAGTGCTACTCTGACGGAGCCTTTGGATCCTAGGTCTTCCTTCCAGGACCCTCCTGTGGAAGAGCAGGAGGAGCTGTCCACGATGTCTGGGGCCATCAAGCGGTCTTCTTCCCTCATATCTGACTCGGGCATTGAGAGTGAGCCAAGCTCTGTGGCCTGGTCCGAGGCCCGAAGCAGGGCCGTGGAGTTAGCCAGCGATCGGGAAGTCCTGCACCAGTTGGTTAGAAGACATGCACTCCACAGGAACTCCCTGGAGGGTGGACACACAGAAAGCAACACCAGCTTGCCAAGTGGCATCCAGGCCTCTCTCACCTCCATCAGCTCTCTGCCTTTTGAAGAGGAGGAACGTGAGCTGGCCCTCACCAAGCTGACCAAATCTGCATCTGCACCCCAAATCAGCAGCCCAGAAGACGCAACTGAAGGTGCAGGCACCATGAAAAAAAGAGGAGACTTCCCTGAAGCTTCAGAAATGCGGAAGAGCGGAGGTTCCCCTGAGCATAGCTCTCAACCAAGTGGAAGGCCCAGAGCCCAGGATGCCAGGGCAGCCCAGCCCTTTGGGGAAACAGTGTCACGCGCTGACAAACATCAAGACCCTGGTTACATGGACATCCCCCAGGGTAAAGAGAGCCAGGTAGAGCCTCAAGGCCACTCTCGTCTGGATGGCAGGACTGAGAACACTCCAGAGAGCGAAACCAAAGGTCTTAACGTAAAAATACCACGTAGTATAGCGCTTGAAAACCCCCGGGCCCGGTCGCTGCATAGGGCACTCATGGAAACCCCCAAGGGCAGGCCTAAGGACTCGCATGTGGGCAAACACATTCTCTCCAGCAGCAGTGTCTCAGACGTCGGGGAAATGTCCCACCACAAGGTGCCTGAGTTCAGCTGTACCTCAGCTTCGGATGCCACCACCCCGAATCCCGAGCACAGTGGTGCGCCTGGCGCCGTGGGCCACGTGGTGTCGCCTAGAGAACCCGATGCCTTCCTAGAGGACGAACCCGAAGCAGGCACTGTGTGCCATGCTCTGACTCCCCCCATCCCTTCCCAAATTCTGAGAAACCAAGAGCTGAGGACAGGCGCTTCCATCATGGGTCCGCCGCTGGCCTCGGCAGAGACCTTCTCTCTGGAGAGCCTCAAGACCGTGGAGGTGGTCAACTTGTCCCTGTCTTGCACTGCCACCTGTCTCCCTTTCTCATCTGTGCCCAAGGAGACCCCTGCCAGGGCTGGGTTCTCCTCCAGACAGACCCCAGTTCCCATCACGCATCAGCCTCTGGGGTCCTTTGGAGTCGTTGCTACCCACTCCAGCAAGTTGGAGGAAGACGTCGGTGAAAGGATGTTCAGGTGAGCTTGCGGGCGGGATACCTGGCCCCACCCTTTGGATTCTTCCACAGAGTTCTCAATTTCACACACACTCTCTAAAAGTTGAGATGTTTGTTTCCTGATTCAGGTGATCAGATGCATGTCACACAAGTAAAAGAGGTGGAATAGTGTAAGGAAGTAAAATTACCAATAGGCCCACCTCCCAACGTGACAACTGTGTAGGCTCTTCCGCAGTTTGCTAGGTGCCTCTCTATCCATGTCTGCTTTTAATGCAAAAGCTGAAATGTTCTGTCAGTTCCTGCATATGTTTTACTCAACCTAATAATATATTGGAAATCTTTCTATGTTTATAGTTCATTTTATTTCCTCATGTTGATGTTGTCACAGTACCCCAGAATGTGAACAAAATCCTTGACAGACATTTAAATTTTGTTCAAGTTTTATTATGATGCACATCTCCCTTGTGAACACCATTGTCACTTTGTCTTTGCACATTTTGAAGGGCTTTTTAAGAGCCTTTGAGGGTTGGAAATTCTTAACCAGATTGGTCTCATAAGCCTCCTTTAAGATTGTAAATTTCTTAAGTTCATGGATCCTTCTGCAACACCAGAATCCCCTCCTTCATCCTATGGAGATTTCTATTCCCATTTCCCCCTACTTATAAACTATTTATTGATAAGGTATAGAGTCATTTCATCAATGTAGCTCATCTTATTTACTGTTTTGCAAAATATTATTTCATATTATCTATTAAGTCCTGAGTTTAAATTCTGTGAATATTCAACAAAATGAACACAAGTGCATTAAAATGAGTTGAAAACCATGATCTAGACTTTATATGTATTGTTTATGCACATTTTCATATAGAGATGAAACATCTGTGTTTTTACATGCTCTAATCATTTACCTATTACTTTTCTTAAATCAATGGAACTCCCCAAACATTTATTTATTTCAAGTGACCATAGTAGCATATTGGTTGCTGACTTATTTTTCATAGGTGTCTTATATATAGGATAACTTGACATAATGGGATAATGATTTCCCCCCGAAGTGAAACTGCACAGTCAGGTCAAATCTGAACTTTTGTTCAGTAAAGAATACTAAATACCTATCGTATGACACTTGTCATCAACTCAACAAGTATGTAGCAGACATCTGATTGGGTAAACATGAAGATGTGCAGAGCCAGAAGTATAAGGATTTAACTTGTCTGAGGGCAATGGCTACCAATAGAATGGTGACCAGGGGAAGTGTCTTAAAGAAGACACCTGCATGGGGGAAAATATTCCGAGGGTGATAATGATGACCGCGACAATGATGATATGCCTGGTAGATAGTAATGCAGCTCAAACATCCCTAATATGAAAGCTCAAATCCAACATGCTCCAAAATTCAAATTTATTTATTTGTTTGTTTGTTATGAGGGATAGAAACCAGGCATTGCATGTGCTCTGTAAGTGCTCTACCCCTGAGCCACATCCTTCACGGAGACTCTTTAAGATCCCAAGCTTTTTGAGCATGATATCAGACCTCAAATAGAAGATTTCATATCATGGAACTGTTTCATGACTCAAATTATTTAAAATATTGCACAGAACTACCTTCGGGTTTTGTGTATAGGACAGATCTGAAACAATAATGAGTTTCATATTTAGACTTGGGTTCTATCCCCAAGATATCAGATTATATATGTGCAAATATCCCAGAATAAAAGAAAAATCCTAAAGTCCCAAGATTTTCTGGTTCCTAGCACTACAGATGAGGGACAGACTGCCAGGAACAACAGGTGTCAACACCAAGATTCTGATGTTGGCACGCTGGTTCCTAAGTCCACGCTCTTAACCACCTAGATAGTCAGGAAACCATGCAAAGGGCATCACAGCAAAGTGGAAAGGCATTGCAGACACACAGCTGCATGCAGACACATGTGAAGACAAGCCACAGAGCTTGTGTGTGAGTCTACGGGTGGGAGTGGTGGCCGAGGATGTTGGAGAAGCAGGTGGAGGCCAGGCCATGGTGCACTTGTATGTCAAGGGAGGGACCTTTCACTCCAGGGGTATCATCTTAAAGATTGCCTAAATTCTTGGAGCTGGATAGAATCTTAGAAGTCCTATTACCTGATTCAAAGCAGGAACCATATGGAAATCTGTACAACTCACCCCCTTTGGTTTCCTTGGGTGGTTTCCTGCCTTCTTGTTCAGAACAAAGCTTTGCTCATCAGTATCTCCCCTGAAGTCTCATGCTCAGCATTTGCGGCTCAGCAGACACTTGGCTTAGGGATGCTCATCACTCCTACATGTAGCCCAACTCATTTCCTGCTCCACATGGAATACACAGCTTGGCTTGTGATTAATTAGTGTATTCTCCAGTTTTTATCAGGCCAAAGAAAAATTTAAAAAAGAACTGAAGATTGAAGGATTTCTGTACAGTGACTTATCTGTACTAGCTTCTGATATACCATATTTCCCACCAGAGGAAGAGGAAGAAAACTTGGAAGATGGGATTCACCTGGTTGTCTGTGTCCATGGCCTGGACGGTGAGTCCCAATGTTCCCTCCTCAAAGGGCTATAGTGAATGCAATTTGTAATAGCTCTGAATTCACTTAGATTGGGTATCTATTAAAAATGTTCAAGTAGCCACCATGGGATGGATTACTACAGTAAGTCTAGGGAGATGTCAAGGCCCTGTTATAAAAGAAAATATCTCTGTGGCACAAGAAACCTGTTGAGGAAAAAAATACATAAATGAATGAATCCAGTGAAGGAATTAATTGAATAAATCAGTGGTACATAAAGAGGATGTTTGAGAAAATGGATAACTAATGGGATGAATATTCAAAATGAAAGAAGAAGTGGGGTGAATGAATAGATGAAGTACTGGGCTGAGTACGTGAGTGCAGTTCAGGAATCGATGGAACCCCAAGTTAAGACAATGGTACAAACAAAGGAAGAAATAGAACGAATAAAGGATTCCTCGAGGAGCTCGGGCCAGTGGTCAGTACCGTTGCTGCCTGTTTTTTTTTTACTCACCTCTTACCTTTAGGGCACCCTTGTATGCCACTTGGCTGAGCTCTGGGATTGGCAGGGACAAAGAATAAATTTCTCACTCATTCACTGAACATCACGCATGACAGGCGTGTACCTCTCACTTAGGCTACGTTAAGTCACGAGGAGGCAAGACTCTCAATTTCTTTGTTAAAATGAGAGATCTGGTTGGGTAACGGGCTGTTACCTTGTTGTGACCAAGCGCAGGGAGCACAGGCATGCTCTAAAGGTAGAGCAGCTGCATACCGTGAGAGCTGCCACCGTCAACTCTGCTATCACCCGAGTGATGGGTCATCAGGAAGACAACTGATATCCAAGCCAGGTTTCGTTGGAAGGTGACTTCTGTAGTTCAGAGTGCATTGTCCAGACTCTTCAGAATTCGATAGGTTCTGCTTTTTGAAATTTGATTTGCAAGTGTATAGTCATATTGACAGAGGACTGATAACGTAGATAACAGTCCTGGCTGCTTACACACCTTCCCGCAGTGCAAAAGGCCCAAGATTCCTGCTCTTGTAAGGGTTCTCAGTTTAGCACCTGATGAAATCAGATTTTCTGACAATGCTTTAAGTTTCAGAATGTTCCTTCTCCATTAATAGCTGTAGGAAAGGGGAACATTTTAATCCCTTTAATTCCTAATACTAAATATAGGTGCTTGAGACATTTATTTTTAAGGATGCATTCTTGGAATGCCAAACAAAGGTGACAGTGAGACCAAAGAGCACAAGGTTACTGACAGAAATGAAGGAAGGAATGGGTAAAATTTAATCTCGTAACATAAAATGCACATATTTCTCATAATAGCACGACCATTTTTGATGATGGTTCTACAGGCATGGGTATTCTGTGATAGGTCACCAAAAAGGGTGGCATCTGCACCATCTGCGCATATCTATCCTTAAAGAAGAGGGATCCTCCCAGGCCTGGGGTTCCTATGACACCCTGGACACTGTAGCCCTCCTTTGAATCATTGGGTATTTTCATAAGGAATGATGTGAAACTATTTGAAACCTTGACCTGTGGGGTTTGTTCATGTGCCGGGCAGAGAACCTAAGTATCCAAGTGAGTAGCTCCTGGCTTTTCGCTGCATAGGCCATACAGCTGAGGAATGGGCCAAACTTTGATTTAGAAGCCACAAGACCCCTGTGACCTGCATGAAATTTATGCCTAAACATGTATTGTTGTATAAAATCTGTTTTCCACATGACTTTGAACTCAGGAGTGCACTCCCTGTGTCTTGTGTCTCTGTTATTAGTGACAGCCTTAAGTTCTATGTCTATTCCTCTTCTCCTGATGTGCTATTGAGCATCATGGAGGTTGCTCTTCCAAGACTGTGGTGCCTGAGGGAGATTCTTATTCTACTTAGACAACTCTGCCATGGTTGACCCTTTATGGGGGCTACTAACTGCCTATAAATGAGAGAGCTGGACAGTCTTTGTATTAAGCAAGGAATTCAAGTGGGGTTTGTTGGCGTCACATTGTGCCACATCAGCTATTAAGTGGCACCACTTGCAAAACATCCTGGGCAGGGAGAATTTGCCAAGGAAAAAGAAGAGGTGGTGTTTCCAGCCATCCCTGCCTAGAGCATTTACGAACCACATGGTAGAAGATGAGGGGATGACTCCATTGAGGTAGGATGTCTATGAAGGAGCAGCCTCTGTGTGTGTGCAAGGAGAGGAAGAAAGGATCTAATTAAAATATAATGGGGAAAATCCGGTGGGAATGGAGGAAATGGAGGAAGGCGTTCCTTGTTCCACCTTGTCTATGATTAACTATGGGAATGGGGTGGGGGCTTATCTGTCATTTTTAGGGAACAGTGCAGACCTCCGGCTGGTAAAGACTTTCATAGAGCTGGGGCTCCCAGGAGGAAAACTGGACTTCCTCATGTCTGAAAAGAATCAGGTATGGCAACACAAACATCAGAACTGAAGGAACAGGGTCCTGCTACAGGCACATGATGGTTTCTGAACACACAGATGGGAGAGAATCTAGCAAAAGAAAAACTGGCCAACCCTGGGACTTTTGGAGAGAAAACACGTGTTGTTCTTTGGGAGGGTTGGGAAAGAGTAAGAAATGAAAACGGGAGTCAGTTGACTTGTGCCCTTTAGCCTCACAGGGCATTCAGGTGAGTGTCAATTATTTAGAGATCTGTATCCATGCCAGGAAGGAAGGGCATTTAATTTGCATCTGAATAACTAAAGAAGCTGTGTCCAGGCAGCTCTGCAGTACAAGTGACCTGTGAGGTCTTTGCCATTTCAAGGTAGATGGAGCCTGGGCCCTAATGAGATGTGTTCATCTTTGAGAACTTACTCAATCTATGACCAGAGCTGGTGCTGTCAGGAAGTGTTGTTGTTGATTGCCACCCACCATGGAATTTGAGTATCCTTTAGAGTACTAGAACTGTTTATGCCTGAAGGGTCCCATAACCACTGGGGATGGTAATTGTGCAGAGGACCACCAGCTGGCAAACCCTGGGAGGTCATGTCTCACTTCCCAACTGTTAGTGCTCAATCTGTTGCCTTTCCTTGTACCTCCTATATTCAAGGCCACACCACATGCAGGGCAAAGAGGTATAGCATAAGGAAGGGTAAAGAGAACCATTACTTGAGCACTTATTATATACAGGGTATTCTGTCCCTGTTGCCTCCTTCCATCTTCACAGCAGTTTCCTTGCTTCTCAGTACCTCCCTCTGCTTTTAGAAGGGTAGCAGAGACTCTGGGAGTTAGGCAGGCTCCATCGTCAGTCTAAGCTGGAGAGGAAGACGCCATTCATGATGTGTGCACATGAATGACTTCCAGAAGATCATGCATGTGTACACATGGCTTTACCATGTGCCCAAGTATGATCTGGTCCTAACAGAGGTTACCCAGGGCCTCAGAGGTGAATGAGATGTTCTTCTCAGGAAGATGCATATGGTGAGTGAGGGAAGTCTGCTCCAGGTGCGTGAGTGGCCTTCCTCTCCCAGCCTGTCTCCTCCTCTGCGAACCAGTGGGCATGCGTGAGATACCAGGCACGTGCCGTGTCAGTGGACTTCTTCAGCTTTCCCACCTCCACTTCCAGGCTCCTAAGTGAAGATCCCAAGTTTCTTCATCACAGTACCAACCTGTGGGCCCTTAGTCCAAAGTCCAATCTCAATGTCAGCTTAGGCATGTTCCCAAATTGCATCTCAATGTTTAGAAAGAAGATGCTTAGGTGGAGAGTCCTCAACCAGGACTTCTCCCAACACCTGTTTTCCTCTCTCTTCCAGACAGACACGTTTGCAGATTTTGATACCATGACGGATCGATTACTGGATGAAATCATTCAGCACATTCAGTTGTACAACCTCTCCATATCCCGAATTAGGTAAAAGGAAACCACAGGTAGCTAATGCTAAGGGAACGGGTGGGAACTTTTTTTTCTTTTTTAATTCACACAGTGTGCCGCTTCCATGTTTGGAATGATGCCTTCTGAAAACCACTGGAATAACTTAACCTGGTTTTTAATGGCGTTAATTATCTTTAGAAAGGAGCAACAGGGATGGTTGACACACTCATCTGCCTTAGTCGTGTTGGGGAGTACACATGTGTTCACTTAGTGTAAAGAGTACTGGACTTAACACAGAAGTCCCTGGGTGTGATTTCCTGTTCTAACACATACTAGTTTGAATCCTGACTCTCATGCATAGCAGGTGTGTAACCTTTGCAAGCCTTCTCTTCTGCTAATTGGACTAGTGCTGAGAAGACCTGTGGAAAAGCGAAATGCATTGCCTGCCCAATGCCAGGGCTTTATGGGTGCTAATTGTACCCTCACCCCGTAACTTGAGCATGTGGATTTCTAGATAGACGGCTAATCCCTCAGTGTCTCCCTATTTAGTCTTCAGAGAGCAGCTATCATTTCTTTATCCCACCACGAGTATTCGGAGGCTGTAAGTATTCTGAGGACTGGTGAGAATGGAAGGACACAACTAGCCCATGCCATCTCCTCAACTAACATGCTCATGTTTGCTGGTTTTGTGCTTCTTGTGAGGCGAGGTGGCACAGTGTACTCTCACATATCAGAGCTTCAATAAGTATTTATTTATGTGAAAGTAAGGATGTGTTGACTCTAAGGTCCGTGGTAGCGCTGGACTTGAGCGCAGCATGCAAGAGGGTGTCCAGCACAACAGGTCTGGGGAGCAGGCATAGAAGAGGAAGGGGGCAGACCTGGAGAGGCAGTCCGCGGCCAGCTAGGACGGGTCACACAGGCCAGGCTCAGGGTTAGGATTTCATCTTGTAAATGGCCAGGAGAGTTCATGCTCAGCTGCATGTTTCAGAAAGAGGCCTCCTGGCCTCAGGTGAACTGAGCAGGGCTGTAGGGGCCAGCCATCAAGGGAGGCTGCTGAAACTGCACAGAGCTGGGCCACTTTGTCCTGTGACCACACTGGTACAGAGCTCCCTTCCTGAGGACCTGGATCATCTCTCTGAACGTGGCATAAGTTTGGATCCCTGTTGAGGAGGAACGGGCAGCCCTGTTGTTTGGCCAGTTTCCCTGCGTCCAGTGACGGGCAGGACACTAAGGACTCAGAGCTCCTGGCACTGTTCCCCCAGCAGCTGGCCCTTGCTGACGTACTCACGTGCACACTTCGTCTCTCCACAGCTTCATTGGCCATTCTCTTGGCAACATTATCATCCGATCTGTCCTCACCCGGCCCCGGTTCCGGTATTACCTCAACAAACTCCACACGTTCCTGTCCCTGTCTGGGCCTCACCTGGGGACCTTGTACAACAACAGCACCCTGGTTAGTACAGGTAAGGCTTTCCTCGACATTAATATGGGACATAAAAGTGGAGGCAGAACTTCTTGCAGCTTTGGGGCCTCTTCCAGGCATGGGAGGGAAGAAAGAGACCTGGGCTTAGAAACATGGCCTTCATTGTCAGGTCTGGAGGTTAGACTAGATGGTTTCCAAACTCATGTCTGCCTTCAGATTTCTGTGGACAAAAAGATCATGTCCCCATGGTCCTTTCGGAATACATAGATGAGGTATAACGTCATGATATGGAGGACATGTCACTGCCACGAGAAGCGTCTGGTCAAGTTCTGAGTCAGATATTTTGCGGAGGCTCTGGCTAAGACATTTGGTCCTATGCCATTTAGATTATTTACTGTAAAATGGAGATCATGGTTGCATGTATGTATGTTTATGTGTATGTGTCTATTGTTTTTGTACATATATGCATGTACGTGGAACATGCATGTTTAAACGTGTATAAAATATATGTGTGCATGTATAGGCATCCCTCAGTATCTTTAGCAAATTGATTCCAGGACCCCAACAGATACCAAAAGCCAAGGGATGCTCAAGTTCCTTATCTAAAATGACAGCATATTTGCAACACCTGTGCACATCCTCCTGCATTCTTTAATAATCTCTGGACTACTTTTAATGCCTAATACACTGTGGATGTCCTACAAGCAGTCATTATACTATATTGTTTAGGAAACAGACAATAAAAATTCACGTGTTCATTACAGACACACTTTTGTTCCAAATAATTTTGAGCCTGCAGTTGGTTGAATCTGCCGATCTAGAGCTCACAGGCGCAGAGGGCTGGCTGCATCTGTAGTATGTGAGGGGCTGTGTGCATGTGTGTATCAGAGACATGTAGAGAATTAAGGAGGAGGTAGAAAGAAGAGGTTGGAGAAGGAGCAGAGCTTCCAGGGCAGGAAGTGGCTGGGAGAGTGTTCTGGGCGGCAGACACGGTGTACATGACAACATAGAAGCATGGCAGAATCAGCAAACTGCTAGAAATTATTTGTGACAGAAATACAGCCTTCTCTGGGGTGGGCCTCCGGAGATGATAGATGGAGTGCCCAGCTAGAGCCCCGGGTGAAGGGCTTTGCATGACACGGCAGGATAGTGCTAATGGTATTTTTTAAAGAATTTATTCTTATTAGTTATGCATGATATTAGAATATATTTTGATATATTATACTACGTATATGGAATACAACTTCTTATTTTTCTGGTTGTTATCTGGTGTAGAGTTCCACTTGTCCTGTAATCATATATGCATATAGGATAGTGATGTCTGATTCATTCTACAATTGTTCTTATTCCCATTTCCCTTCCCTTCTTTATCCCCTTTGTCTAGTCCAAAGTACCTCTATTCATCCGTTAGGTCCCCCTCCACCACTGATTGTGAATTAGCATCCAAATATCAGAACATACTGGGGATTTTAACTGAGGAAACAGCCTGGTTTGGTGTATGGAAGTCACTGAGTCTTATATAATGATAAATATTGTATTAAACCATATTCCCGATAAACACTTCATAGTTCCTGATTATCTAAACTCACTAAGTGGCATTAGGGACACCTCTAATGACGTCCCTCCCTGCCAATCTGCTGCCCACTGCCACACTGGCCAGTGCTGTCCATATACTCTAATGTTTTCCTCTTGGAACTTTTGCTTTGAAGCTGCTTTGAGAACCCTACCTATGAGCATGAGCTACTCAACACTTTGATACGTACCACAAAGTCCTTTCCTCTGCCACTCTGGCTTTTCTTTGCAAATCTGGGAAATCAGCTTCCAATAATCGCCCCACACCAGGGAGTCTAGAGTGGTCTCCTGCAGTCTGTACTACTTCCTCCCCAGGCAGGTCACTTAGTGGCTGTTGAGATACGGATGCACATCGTGAATTACTCATTTCCTTGGGTTGTTGTCAGTTTGTGTGTTTGCTGTGGTGACAGCGCTGACCCTCATCAGTGTTAGTGTGTGCCTAAGCAGAGCTGAATGGATGGGCTCTGAAATGGAATGTTTCTTATAGTTTTCCAAGAATCTAAACGGCTTCTAAGGAACATTCTATTATTCTATTCTATGTACTTTGCAAGTTGGGACTGTTCCTTTGGCTTCCTTTTCAGAAGGAGGTTGAAAGAGTTCTTTGACAGCTCCGTGACTCTAGAAGCCTGTTGCCATATTGTTTTGCAGGATGATTTTATGGCTGCCAGTTTATAAGAAGACAAATTTGCCTCTGTGACTTCCCAACTCTTGGTTAAAATGCCTATTGCTTTCTTCTCTTAAGTTAACTGATTTTTTTTTTTTTTTGCTTTCTTTGGTTTTACATTTTGTTTTTTTTGTTTGTTTGTTTTTGTCTTCTAGGCTTGTGGCTCATGCAGAAATTAAAGAAATCCGGGTCACTTCTGCAGCTGACCTTCAGGGATAATGCTGATTTACGCAAATGCTTCCTATACCAACTAAGCCAAAAAACAGGTGGGTGTTTCTTCCCTCAGCAGCTGCGGATCCTCCTCCTGAGATAGACATTAGCTTTGATGCTGTGTCATTGCATGAGAGCCTCGATTCTGGGCAGAGACCTGGTAGGACCCTACAGAAAGTTGAGAATGCACTGGGGCTGGCCCAAATTGGGGATAGTGAGGAGATCCAGGGAGCTAAGCCTCTTCTACCCTGGGAAGCCATAGTTACCAGGAGCTCAGCTTCCCTTGCCCCTCCCCATGTGGTACGTGAGAGAGGAGAGCCACAGAGTGTGCAGGGTCACTGCAACACACAGAAGTGCCAGCTTCTGTTTCCCGTCAGCCCTTGAGTATTGTCAGTGCACCGGTCCAGGGTCTGTGTGCCAGCCACACTCAGGTACAGATCAAAAAGAGCAGACAGGACAGTGCGCATGTGTGGTGACCAAGTCCTAGGAGAGGACTGTCACACAGGCCTGATGTTACACCTCCACCCACTGTGTCACAGGAAGCAGAAAGGCATTGAAACTCTGCCAGCACATGGGAATGACCACAGAGGACAGGGCTGATGGTGGCTGAGTGGCTGTGTAAGGAGTAGAGCCACTGATGGATTAGCCTGCCCCATGCGGGCCTACCTGCTGACCTTGCCCAGGGTCAGCTCCAGGTGCCCTGTCCTCCACCCTCTGTGTACCCCTGTGGGGACTGCTGCACCTCCAAGAATGTGCATCCAGAAGGCCCAGGCTGATGTGTAGCCGGGGCAAGTTTCTTTCCTCCTTCCTTCCTCAGTGTCAAGCTGAATGTTGTTATCCCCTGTGGGGGAGACAGGACTGGCCAGAGAAGAAGGGGGAATGTGTGTGGTCACCACGAGGTTTCAGCTTGTCCCAACCATGGAGAGCTGAGGTGACCCCACAGAGCTGTCCTGGAGTGGGTGAGGGGTCAGCCCAATCCTCCCTGCTTCCAAGACTTCCAGCCGTTGACGGAGGCCATGCCCAGTGTGTGCTCCTGGGGTGTGATCTTGGATGCAGGGACCCACTCGTGGAGGGATACTGAGAGCCACCAATGTCCTCCTGCACAGCAGCAGCTGGGGTGAGAAGGGCCCTGTGCTGACCAGGACCTGGGCTGTGCACACACCCCCTGGACCCCGGGATAGGCTCTGGGAACTGCAGGATGTATGTGGGGACCTCTAGGTCTCCACGTGAGGACAGGTCAGCAAGAGCAGGCTGGAGGAGTGGGCTTAGTTGGCTGATTATTTCCCTAAAGCAAGTGACATCATGAGATGAACTCACAGAGCTGCTGTGGATGGAGAGGAGGAGAAGCAGAAAACTTAGACATCCTCATAAAATCCTCAGTACTCCTGCCCTCAGGGGCTTGCTCTCTCTCTCTCCTCTCTCTCTCTCTCTCTCTCTCTCTCTCTCTCTCTCTCTCTCTCTCTCTCTCTCTCTTTCTTTCTTGTCACATACATGCTTCTTTTTTCTTACTGTGGCTTGATATATGTCTCCTTAGTTTCTGTGGCTCAGACACCTTCCCTCCAAGGGCAAAAGCCCCAGTGCATTCTCAGCTTCCTGTAGGGTCCCACCAGGCCTCTGCCCTGGGCTGTGCATGGTTCAGCCTCAGAACAGAGGCTCTCATGCAGTGACCCCAGGCCTTGTCTCTCCTCATCTGTCCCCTCTGGAGAAGTCTGTACAGTATGTGCAAACGGAGGGAAAGCGGAAGCCGCCTGGGTTAGGCACTCACCCGGCTCCTTGTTACAGGGCTGCAGTATTTTAAAAACGTTGTGCTGGTTGCTTCCCCGCAAGACCGCTATGTGCCATTTCATTCAGCCAGGATTGAGATGTGCAAAACCGCCCTCAAAGACAGACACACAGGTAAGCACCCTTGAATTCCTTTAACGGTTTTCTGATTTAAAAAGCAAAAATAAATTCATAAGGTTGACTCTTCTTATCAGGGACAGCAGGGCTCTGGCTTATCCTGGAACAGAATACTGGTACAGAGTAGACTGGGGTGCAGGGCAGAATCAGGGAGGACCCATGGAGGTGGCCCTGGGGCTGGATGTTAAAGGAAAGGCCTGGCAGGCCACCAGGAGAGGGGATGGGCTGGTGTTCCTGGTTTCCTTTGATATGGTTTACTCTATGTCAGACATTTGGATTGTTTTTATTTTCAAGTAAGTGATATTTTTGTCTTATTGCATGACGTTTAGAAAAATTGTCTGCCAAAGGTCCCAAGATTTGGCACTAAATATAAATCAATCAGTGAACATTTCTACTGGGACCTAGGAAAACCAAGAGGAATTTTGATGACAGATATTTGAAATGCAATTTCACGTGCAAAATAACATTGTATTTTTTCATGTGTGATATATGCACCTGAATGTAACTTGAGGCACATCACCAAATGATGCTGTCGTTTTGAAAAATGCTCATTTATAGAACATTTGGAGAAATGGAATCTATTTCAACAAATCAGGATCATATCTAATGGTACCTGTACCACTACTCACATTTCATGTATTTCTGAAAGTCTCATTTTGTATGTATATCATATTAAAAGTCAAAATTTTGCCTCATGACTCAGTTTAACGTGATGTCCTCTTCATTTTCCTGTATGAACAATACCACACATACAAGCACATTTTCATTATTGGCTTTATTTATGAATATATTATAATTAACAATTTCCTCATCTTTGGACATATAGGTTGGACATATAATTTCCAGAAGAATTAAATAATTTATTAGAAAGTGCAGTGTGGCAAAAGCCTTTGTATGTATGTTTGTGACAGGTCTAAATATGTCCTTAAGGTGGACTCCCAGTCCTGGTGCCATTGAGGGAAAGACATTAGCGAGCTAAATCTCTTTAAGACGTTTGCCAAGTTGTCTTCAAAGTTGTGCATTCAGTGTACGTTACTATCTCACTCTCCTACCTCTTCGATTAAAGGTATTTGATAATAATTTTTCAACCTAAACTTTCAGGTATTGGTCCTTTTCTCACACATACTTTTTTCCTTTCTTATTTTTTCTAATTGCCCACGGGACGCCTTTGCATTCACTGCCTGTGTCCTGTTCCCAGTGCAGACTTGATCCAACACAGGCATGGCAGAAATCGCTGGACTATCGTCCTCATGAGGGCACTTGCTAAGTTTTCCTGCCTACTTCATATCTCCCTACCATAGAGAAGCGGCTCTGGGGACACCTGAAACCTGGTGAAGCCTTGAGGACAGGGCTCCCCAAGTCCTCACACTGTGCCAAACCTGAGCTGGTTCCCAGTTTGTAAATACAGTTTGTTGGAACAGCCACAGCGTTCATTTATGAGCTGCACATGGCTGCCTTCTTGCGCAGAGTTAAGCTGAGTGGTCATGACGTGGTGTGCCTGGGAGGCCTTACGTGCACTGGGAATGTCCACCCTGGCTTGAGTAGCAAGCTGCACCCTTGGTCACTATATGCCACACACCCCTGTCCATGGTTCAGCTCATGCAGTCTTCACAATGGCTTTCTGAGGGTATCCTCCTCGCTCCAGATTTACAGATGAGAAGGCCAAGGTCTCCGGAGGGTGAGAGCAGGGAGTTCTGTAGCTAGCACAAAGGTACCACCACAAAGACGAACCTTGACGTCTGTCTCTCCACTCCACTTTGAAGTAGTTCATGGAGGTTGACAGAATTCCGTATTCTCAAAGGATGCTAATAGACGTCTTAAACAGTCTACCTAAGTTCACATTTGCTGTTATGCTTTTAAGTAAGCATCAAATAAATGAAGCTTAATTGGCAAATTAAAAATTAGCACACGACCTTACATAGAATTTAATTCATGTTCGGTTGTCGATGTTGTTGCTTTTTTTTGAAGTACAACTATTTCTATTTTTCGAAAGTTCTGAAATAAAATGCTTCCCAGCTTCGGCAGTGTCTTTGTGTCACCTCTCGACTCATCGGCTGAACTGCTGTATAGATGATTCACACCTCTCCCAGAAGTCAGCCCAGTGCTTCCCTGGAGAAAGACTCATGAATGGCCTGCTGTGTATGTTTCTAAACTTCCCAAGGAATTCCTCAGGTGTTACTATCTGAGCAGAAAATTATCTGGCTGATAACCACTACATTTTGAGTGACTTTTTTTCTGTTTTTTAAATCGACCTCAGGCCTTCACTACTTGTACAGTTTAATCAAATTACGATATTGATGTAATGATAATGCACTTTCATTTTCATCTATCAAATTGACCTGCATGGATTCTTTTTGTTACTCCCTGGTATTCATAGACATCATTTTAAAGGGCACAGAATTATTTAGCTGGCCAGTGAAGTGTGGTTTTCTTAAACATTCCTTCATGATAAGTTTTGATTGACTTCCACTTTCTCTCTGAAAGGAACACTTTACCCACTCAAGTGTATGACATGGTACCTTGACAGCCTTTCATTAATACCGTAATGCCTACGGTTCTAAAACAATAATGGCGTCTTGCAAAGGATTAGACCCTTTATTTTAACCCCTAATATTTTTCAGGTCAAGATAAGATGAGGACAGAGATTTCACCGCCAAATCCCTAGTTATTTTTAATTTACATTTCAACATCTCCTACTTTGAAGTTCCTCCCCAAATCCAAAGAAGGTGATGGGAGGAGGAAATAGACAATGTTTTTTATGTGTGAAGGGTCCACTGGCCTTCCAAATGGTGTCCCGTGTGGAAATAGCCTGAACTTTCACATGGGGTGGAGATGGAGGGCAGGGTCAGGGGCGTTTCTGGAGTGGGGCTGGTGGCTGTTAGACTCAGTGTAAGAGTGGGTCCCTCTCAGTGCACACCCTGGGGTGCCACACTAGATCATGTCCTGTGGAGTGGACACCTGGAGGCCATGTCTAAGCCTCTGGGCATGGCCTCTCCTGTGTGTCAAAATCAAGGCATCTTAGCACTCGGGATTACCCCAAAGGGTGCACTGCACCATGTAACAGTGGTCATGAACAGCGTCGCAGTCAGGAGAACAGGGCTGGGTGTGCTTTGTGGACAGGTGTGCAAATGTGCTCATGGTCATCATCACTGGATGCACTGTGGGTCCCACCGACTGAGGCAAAGCTGCCACTGAGTGACTTTTTAGACGCAAACACAGATGATTCTGACTTCCAATTATCAAGATCAGACAAGCCCCAGCCACCAACCATCCAGAGCCCCTGCCTGCCCTCTTCTCCCAGGCCCTCAGCATCAGGACAGACGGCGCAGTGCCAGACGGCTTGTAGGAGGCGTGACCTGCTCCCTTCGCTGGGTCTCCAGGAACGGAGTTGGAGTCTCTGAGGGTCCTCCTTGGTGTCCTCCTTCCCTGTCTCTGTAGAGAGGACAGCCATCCACTGAAACCCCTCCCACTTCTGCTGGTCTTGGTTCACAGGCCCACAGACCACTGCCTGGAGCTCTCTTCTCTCCTCTGCTGTTATTTCATATTTATTTCACAAACTTTTAGAGCAGCGATAAGATCCTGACCCAGGCGCACACCGTCAGTGCCCTGTAGATTCCACTGCCAACTTCTCCACCGGCTTCATCTGTTTCTTTCCTCCTTCCAGGGCCAGTTTATGCGGAAATGATCAACAACCTTCTGGGCCCTCTGATTGAAGCCAAGGACTGCACTTTAATCCGGCACAACGTGTTCCACGCCCTGCCCAACACTGCCAACACCCTGATCGGCCGAGCCGCTCACATCGCGGTGCTGGATTCGGAACTTTTCCTAGAGAAGTTTTTCTTGGTGGCAGGACTCAACTATTTCAAGTAGTGGCTGTGAGGGAGCAGGCCTGGGGTAGCACTCCAGAAGTGTTAAGGTGAACTGAGTGCTTTTGCTGGGGCACATGCCCCCTCTGCCATGCCAGGATGGAGTAGCAGGAGAGGTGTGGGGATGGAGCTGGGTAGAACTGGACCCTAGTGGTGCTTTTGTTTAGAGATCTGGGAACACAGAGTGTAAAACACAACAATCTTTGCTTGAATTTGTGTAGCCACGTGGAGTCTCTTTTAAGATGCTTTCTAGGAAAAATAGGGGAAAATAAAGAAAAAAACGCTTGGGGTAGGAGAGAGCCTCCCTTCTTCACCCTCACAGCTGGCAGACAGGTTGCTCCAGTTGACATGTCCAACATGTTACTCGCTCATAGCTTTATCATTTTGATTAAATTAAGTGCACACAAGCATTTCAGAACTCAGGTTAACCTCTGTGCAGAAGTGCAACATATTTGTGTAAATAGAACCCTTACTAGATTCCAATGTGCCACTTGTTTAAACAAAATGTGATGCCCGCACTCTTGTTCTTTCTTCATGTTCTCCAAACAAGGGGCAAAGGAGTGTGTGGCACAACCCCATTATGTTCTGTGACAGCAGTAGGTGGAGTGACAGTGTAAGAAGGAGCAGAGGTGATGCTCTTAGTAAATACAAGTTTGTCACAAACAAAAATAACCGTAGGGAAGTTACTCCACCTACTTCCTCGAACTCTCTATGCATAGCCTGATCCAAAATTTATTTTTGTGATTGCTTCAATCTCTGGGGTAGGGATAACTGATTGAGATTCTAGCTGCAGGAGGGGGCACTTAAGATAGATGCATGCCTGCAAAGCTCCTGCTGAAACACTTCCAAAGAAATGCTGAGTCAGCACTGGATACAGTTGCAAAAAAAAAAAAAAAAAAAAAAAGACCATTAACCTGGCCGGCTGTTTCTCCTCTCCCTGAAGGAGAAAGAAGTCCAAATGGAGGAGTGCTGGATAAAAACCTCAGGGGAGCTCTCGGAAGGGTGCTGGATAACTTTCAGTTGAAATGACTTCTTGCCTTAGGAAAATAAAGGGCTAGGAAGGTCAACACTGATAAATGACAGGGGCCAAAGTAAGGTCAGGCTGGAGAACAAAAGCCAGACTGAAGACTCCACTTAAACTGTCATTGGTAAGTGACTTACAGGGAACTTTTGAAAATAACCAGGAGGGTTAATATGGTCCCAAAGACTGAGTGCACCCTATGGGCTAAGGCAAGGTCCATGAATCATTCAGTCATGTAGAAGGAAGGCATGAGCCAGGAGAGTAGAGACAGGAGACACAGATACCACCCTCAAGAGACGAAAGCTCGTAGTTCTGCACAATGCAGAGATTCCTCTGGTCCAAGCACCTGGACTGTGGCTCCAGGTCAGAGATGCCAAGTGGACCTGGGTTCGGGTAGGCATTGTAGATCCTCCCACGTGTTAAACCAAATGCAGACCCTGGGAAAATAGTTCAGAAAGGCAACTTGCAGGAGAGAGGCATTCTGCATTTCTTAAAAACAGAAGTGGTGGGCCAGACAGGGACAAATGTTTTGCAAAGACAGAATTCCACACAGCAAACTTAGGATCTCTATGAATTTTCATTATATCCTGTGAAACTTGTGTTTGTTAACCCCCTGGGGATTTTCCTGAGTTCCCATGCTGGTGCTGGCATAGACTCTGGCTGCTCACGAGCAACCATGCTTTTGTTCTAAAACCCAGGAGACAAGCATTTCCTGGTCATGCAGCCCATGACAGGGTGTCTCCTGACCCAGACAAGTGCTCGTGCTCAGCGCAGACTGGAGGTTTGTAGCACCTTCTCTCTGGCCATATGAGGAGTCTGGCTCCTTGGAGGAGTGCATTTCATGTCCTGTTTCCAACTCCCATCAGCAGCGTGTGTCATTCCCTGGTCACTCGAAAGACTGTGTAGCCAGCAGTTATTGGAGCCAGGATGAAACTGATGACCATTGTCTTTTCCAATAGCCAGATGCCATTTTTAACTTCCACATGCTGTCTGGACACCGTGAGAACTAATGGCAATAAGCGTCCAGCTGCATGGGCACCTCTTTTTTATAGAGGTGTCCTGCTGTCTTTGTAAACCCCCTCTGGCCTCTGCGCATCTTATACTTGTGTAGAAAGTACATCTCTATATTGTAAATAAGAATGTCGAGTGTTGTGTGTCGTGCCTCATTTGAAAAGGCTTTTTTATGTCTCTTTCTATTGAAGTATAGATACCTAATATATATGCATAATATATATATATACATATGTATAATGTAAAGCAGGGACATTCTATTATTGATTATAAAAATTATAAACAAAACGCCTGCCAACATAATGGTCTAGTATGTCTTCATTCTCAGCATAATATTTTTGTTTGTTTGTATGATTTGTTAAGTTTCCCCAAACTAGTTAGAAATAAAATTTACTGATAATGAGATTATTCAGAATTTCTTGTTCATGAGCCAAATAAATACAGAGAAGCAGATATGAGCCTGAGGTCATGTTGGAGCAGAATGCAAACCTTGGTGGCAGGTTGGAAGCAGGTAGGGTGCTTTGAACCTGTGGGGAGGTGGAGAGAGAAAAGCCTCTTGTTAGTGTACGCCTAGAATTCACAAGATTGAGGAATTTCAGTCTGTTCCAGATGGGAGCACAGAGGCAAAACACAGAGCCCTGCTCTCAGGTAACGTCATTCAGGATGGGATATATTCCAAGCTTCTGTTGGAGACTTGGACAGGTGCTGCGGGTCCAGAAATCCAGTCTTCATTGCTGCAGAAGGCCCAGCAGGCAGCCTGAAAGGCTAGACTATGGGCCCTACACTGCCAGCTACCATTACACATTCTGCCATTAGCGCATCCATTCATTCCCAGATCTGCACTGAGGGCCTGCTCTAGCTAGGGATGTGTTGGTTGGTGCACTAGCAGGAGCACAGCCAATCAAATGGGAATTATGTGGGGCTCATTATGAGTGGCCATGGGAGAAGGTCTTGCTTGCACCAAAAATGCAGGTTACTGGTGGCAGGAAAGGCCTTGTGGGAGATTTGACATGGAAGCAAGATATGGAGTCTGCATAGGAGGGGGCCCAGTTAGGATGGGTCGTAGGGAATCTCTTGGAAAGAGGGGAGAGAATAAGCCAAGGACTTCAAGTGAGAGAGAGAGAAGGAGACAGAGACAGAGACGAAGAGCAAACCATCTGGGAACCTACACTACACTGAACAGCTGACACAGTACACCTCTGATGGAAGAAGTGCAAGACGTCAGACCCCTGCAAGATTTTCTGAAGTCAGGAGGAAGTCTCCGTTGCTGACATGGGTGGGGACTTCCCCACTTGGGACTGAGATTGCTAGGCGTGGGTGATTCCTGCCTATCACTGGGCCAATCCTCTGGGCTAGCTCTGGGGACCTGACTCCTCCTGTCCTATGAGAAGCCCAGGCTGCATCATCCCTCACATGTTTCAGTTCTGAACTTCCCTTTAAAGAGCATCACTGCGCTGTCTGCCGGAGGCACACTGCAGCAAACACCATCAGATGAATAGGCCAAGAAGACGGGCACATGGTTTGGATAAAGTGATTTATTTCTTTCTTTTAATAATTAGAAGCAATCAAGTAAAATTCCTATATTGATATTTGAAGGGACCACATTAAATACTCTCAGATCCAACAATTTGTGCAAAAAAAAAAATATATATATATATATATATATAAGAAAGCTTCTTTAATCCTTAGTTTATATGTGAGCAATCTGCATCCTCATAAGACTGGGGTAATATAGTCAGATCCACTGTCCTTCATCAGGGAAAAAATATTCCCTGATGGCCTGCCATGAGCCAGATGTTGGTCATATAACAAAAAGATTGTCCATCCTGTCCCGATGGAGTGTGTGTGAGGGTTGGGGGTCATAACATGGAATCCCAGGAGCAGTGGCAGCAGTAAAAGCCAGATCCAAAAGGAGCCCTCTGAGGAGCCAAGGGGGAATCTTCCACATAGCACCTGGGTGGCAAGGAGTCAACTGGAAATAATAGCAGGCAACTCGGGATTTTCCTTAGAGAAGAAAACCATCTGAAAGTGCCAGGACCCAAGGGAAGTGTGTAGCCAGCGCCCCCTGTTGGAGGCTGGTGGCATCTCTCTCTAAACGGGAAGCTGTTAGGTTAAAGTGTGCATTTTGTACATTGGCCTATCCTGACACCAGTAGCCACTTTGAACTCTTGTCACACTGTTTGGTTCATTTTTAGTGTCGATTTCTGAGAATTTTCCATAATCAGGGATGCTGGGTACATTTGTTCAGATGAACAAATGGTATAAAAAAGGAGAGGCCAGGACAAAGAAGACACAGAAGTAGGGTGATGCTTTCTCCTGTTGTCTTTGCAAGGCATCCATCCCTGTGTCCTTAGGAAGGATGACGTTGTTCTCCAAATGGCAGTTCAACAGCATTTGCTAATATCTAGATCAATCTTTTTGTTGTTGCTGCTATTCACTCCATTACTCTTTCTTTGTTTTACTGAGCATCTATTTTGCACTGGGTACTGGGCTAGGCTATGGAGATATTAACATAAAACATAATCTACTAAAAGGATCTGGGAGGATGGTAAACATTTTGTGTTTTGTTTGTAACCATTAATGTTTCATGTGCAATCACAGGATCTCAGAAACAGAAAAGGGGAAATTAATTGTTGAATTCTGATTCTACTTGGTGTTTAGCAGCCTGGACTTTAAGCTTTTCTTCCATCTCACCAATCAGGTCTCATCTGTGTACAAAGTCTGAGTCATTGCAGTGACATTAAGGACACTGGGACATGTACATGCTTCTTCACAGATAAAAAGAACTTAAAGAAGAGCTTTCAAAACCTTTCAGATGCCTTCCCACTTGCTTCCCTTCCTCATTTCTCTCTCTCTCTTTTTTTCAGTCCTGGAGATTGAACCCAAGGGTGCTTAACCACTGAGCCACATCCCCAGTCCTTTTTTATTTTGAGGCAGAGTCTCACTAAGTTACTGAGGTTGGCTTTGAGCTTGCAATCCTCCTGCCTCAGCCTCCCAAGCCACTGAGATTATGGGTGTGCACCTTCACACTTGGCCCTCATTCTTTAAGAAGAAAAACAAAACACAACAAACTTTTTTCTATATTCTCTCTACTTTCTTTACTTTTTCCCCCTTAAACATTTTCCCCAGCACTAGGGCACTAGGCACAATACTAGTGGTGTAACCAAAGAAAACTGTGGACAATCCAGAGAAGAAAAGCCAAGCCCCACCCCCAGGGCTCTTCCAAGGTGAACAGGAACAATAGACTGCTGTGAAAAGTTCCAGGTGCCAAAATTTATAAACCAACTGTAGTTTTGGAGAAAGCAGTCCCAGCAATTTCAGTCACATAATTGAATTCCCTGGATGCAGAGACCTAGCCTCTAGACAGATGTAAATGTATGCGTGTTGCTGGATAGTGCTTTGCCCATCACCAAACTGGTTATTACCCTATATTTTGTCTTTCTTTCATGACCCATTATGTGGTTTTAAGACAAAGTACTCAAACCCCAAATTTCAGGACTGATCACACTCAGAGACATTGAAAGAAAAATTAAATGTGGACTCTTGTTTATCTCATGGTCAAGGAATGGAATTAATATGCAAAGGTCAATTTCTGTGTGCTGGGTTTTGCATACATGATTTAACTAATCCTTAAATCCCATACACACCACACAAATGCACCAGAGAGGAGCAAAGTGGCTTGCCTATGGTCACACAGCTCAGCGTGGAGGAGAAAGGCCCGAACCCTGAGTCTGTGCTGCATTTCCTCTAATGCAGAGAAGTTACTTAATCATACAAGTCATGCATCTTGTTTAAATTGAAGCCGGAGTTCAAGGCTATGAAGCTTTAAGAAATTCTATTACAATCTAGTACTATATGAGGAACCAACTTGAAAATAAAGGAACACCAGAAAAAGTTCCTCAGCGACAAAGTGGCTTTATGAAGCATTGTCCACAGAGTAACCAGGCAACCGGCTGCCCTGCTGAATCTCCGTGTTCCTCTGTCTCTCCTTCTCTTTTCAAAGTCTCTTTCCACAACCCAGGATGCTTTTCCTCCCCGAGCTTCCACCTACAGTTTCCATCTCTTTCCACTGTTTCTACATTGGGATGACCGATCTTATTCTCCAGGAACCAAGTTCTTTAAAACAGGCTTGAAGTTGCACTAAATTGTTCTTGGTTTGTGGATTCCTGCTTCAGGATGTACCTGAGTCCAAGTCTTGCCATTAGAGCCCAGATTTCTCAGGGTCCCACAAGCCCTCTCCTCTCTCGTTCCTTATCCCATCCTCCCCTGTATCCTTGTAGGTTCCCCACTGGGCATATCTGTCTCTAATTCATCCATGGAAACCTGGTGCTCTGAGCCTCTGCAAGAAGCCCCTCCCCCGGTAGCACATTGTCAGTCTGCACCCCGACGGTACAGAATAGGTGTTCAACAGATACTTGCTGGAAAGAGTCAGTTTCTTGAAGCTCCTGTTTTCTTTTGTTGGCCCCTCATCTTACCCACAGCAAGTGATTCTAAAGCAAATGCAGTTTGACATTGGCTCATATTTGTTCTCTAAGCCTCTAAATTTGCAAGAAGAGAGTGGTTTTAGGAGGGGAGACATCACCGTGGAGTTTTGCATGTGGAAAGAGCCTGTTCCCTCATCCAGTGAAAATGCCCATAAAGTGTGGACAGAAGTGGGGTGTGGCCAAGACAGGACAGTGGAGCTCAGGAACAGCATGTGCTGTAGAGTTGGTATTTGAAAAGCCAGGAGGGCTAGCTTAGGAATAGTTTCTACCAAGAGAGTGGCTAAGGCAAGTTGCTCCATAAGAAAGTGTGGCATTTTCTATGTGGCTTCAAAGTAAATTCTGTACAATGACTTGAGGGAAGTTACCTTGGCTGGAGTTTCAGGCTCAACATCTTGGGACCACAGGAGCCTTGGAACTGGTGTTGTATGATTGGAAGATCTGTGTGATAAAACTGCCTTCCTGCTCAGGTGTATTGTAAGGCATTGTTAGGTGGAGAGCTGAGGAAAGGCCACAGCTTGACCTATAGCTAGGAAGAGTATTAGTCTGATTTAAGGTGTTTGAAGCTGAAATCTAGAAATGTCACTCCATTCTTTCATATTGCATCAAATTGCAAAGACATCCTGAAAGTGTTCTTTAGCCCAGGGATAAACGTACCACATATGGCAAAATACCTTGTCCATCATTCAGGCCCTGAGGGAGTTGAATAAGAACCAAGGTTCCTCTGCTAGTGGACGCCTTTGTCTTCATGAAAGGGTGTTTTTGCTTTATTTATGGTTTTCCCATAACCCGTCCTTGAACACATCTCTTTTGTAAAAAAACAGTATTTGTTCACTCTCTGCTTGACTCTGTGCTAAGTATTGGTGACCACAGAAGTCCATCAGGTGTGACCCTGGCAGTTAGTCTGGTGGTAGGAAAGAATGTCCCAGACAGGATGAGGCAAGAGAGCAGGTGGGAGCATTGACAGTAACA